CAACATGTCCAATCCCTATACACATCCCAGACTATTGTTACTTAACACATCCCCCCAAGATGTCTGAAAGGAATTCCCCAGATTCCTGCGAGACAATGACCGACACAAAGCAGGGGGGGGTTCTCTCCGTCTCATACCTTGCTGCATATGGTACATGTAGTTGGCGCTTCAATAAGTTGAGTTTGTGAAGGTGTAACAATGCATGTGCATCTAATGCATTCCACTTGAACCACATCCTTTCAAAACAGTATTTTTCCTCATGTCAAGTTAAGGAACAGGTTCTGCTGTGCTACACCCACAGTCATAGCCACAGTAAATGATAGAACAGTATTCATGGATGGTGTTCACCGGAACCATTTTTCTTTTCTTTTTTCTTTTTTGGTCACTTTCTTCTGCAGTAATTTAGCCCAGTGGATCATTCCGACCATCGTTGCTCTGGGGGTGGCTCTCCTTTACCGCTTCTACATTGCCGGGAATTGATGCAGGGACCAGGCAAGGCTTGTTGAAGGGTACCGGTAACTTTTATCTCCTCACAGCTCCTACTACTCACAAAGCAAGACTACCAATGAAATTGCTAGAAACCTTTTGTTACAAATGAAAGAAGCCTTGGGCTTATGTACATGTAGATCATACCAGTATCGACAATATCAACTTGAATGACGTCCAATAATGGAAGAGATCTCATTTATGTACTCCTCTGTGCTTGGATTATTTTTATACTCTCCCTGAACTAGGCAGAGTCTAAAGAAATAAGGTTTTGGGGGTACATTTCAGAACCCTGTTTGCATGGAATCATGTGACGCCAGCTCATCAGGACTGGACAAACAATATGAAATACCTGCGCTTATATTGCAATGAATTTCACTGTGGAATTGAGTTCATATTTGAATTCCTGATGTGGAAACTCAATTGTTGAAGTGAATTGGGTCATACCATGACGTTGGGGCACAAGTTGTGATGGTGTCCAATTGTTACTTGGAGTCCGTAAAATGAACAGCTGCACATATTTCCCTGCATGTGGATTCCAAATTGACATTGTTATGCATCTTGCAGCTTTTTGCAAAGCTGAATACAGAGGTGTGTGTTATTTTTACAGAGTAAATGACCTACTTTTACAGGTCATGACAGGTGGTAAAATTACCCATGTAACAAGGACACCGTCACAAATTGTGCCCCAGCCTTAGGGAGTGACGCAGTTAAAACCTCCATTGTTAATGATATACCAGGATGGATTTGTGTAAAGAATGCTACTGTCCAGCTCTTTAGACACTGAACTTTGCCTAGGCTATGGGGGAGATCAGGAGGAGACACTTGTACAAGTGTTATTATGTATGTTTTGTTAAAATTGTACCCATAATTGTGTGGTAGGGAGACCTGTACTTTTTTTGGTCAAAGCAATGCAGGATGGAATTGGACTAAGTTTTAGTTTCAAGAAGAATAAAACCTGGACCAGAAATGTAATTTAGCAAATTCACAGCTTATCTAAGATTCATTTCGTTTGAATATTCAGTGGAGGGGATTGTGAGAGTCTTTAAAAAAATGAACATGCAAATATATAGCAGAGCGTGGCTGCGCTGTACATGTACATGTGATGTCATTGTAGCTGCTGTGATATGTTAGTATGAAAAATTGTATTTATCAATCACTGTATGTCGGATGCCTGGAAATGGGAAAGATTTTGGCCATGTGAATAGAAATTTGCAGTTGAATTTGCATGAAGATATATAGAGGATTGGACATTATTATTTCTTGGGGCTTTGGTCTGTGAAGGATGCAGTTAAAAAGGACATAATGTTGGAACTTCATCAAATATGCATTGTAATATGAATGCATAATTGAACAGCTGCATTTCATGAGTCTGGAATTTGTCAATTATGGGAAGGAGGAGTATTTGTTTTTTACAGAGGAAATAAAAGCAAGTGCACTCTCCACTGTTAATTTTTTTGGTAATGCAAAAATATAGGATGAGAGAAGAACTGAAAATGGCAATAAAACAATGTAAACCCAACGCAAAAGGGAATTAAGTTGTTTGGATGAAACTGTCAACCAACGTGTCATGAAATTGTCAATCAACGTGTCATGAAATTGTCAACCAACGTGTCTGAGAAAATGTGAATGCACAGGCCTACAATTGAATTCACAGCACATTGGTACATGTATGTCGCAATTTTCTAAGTAAAAAAAAAATGGTTCAGCAAAATCAAAATAATTTCACCAGTCCCAAATTGACATCTTCTCAAAATTCTTATAACTTGTGATTTGGTATTTGACTTGGACACGAGGTCAATACATGAGATAAATTTGGCAGACTCCACCAATTTTTGGATAGAGATGACATTTTCACAAAAACTTTTTAATTAATTGTTCAGTTGGCAATTGTTTTTCCTTGTTTTTCAGACACATAAATTCAAATGTATGTACACATGTACATGTATATATACCGGTACATTTCATCCTGGAGGGGTGTAGCATTTCTACTTCGGTGAAGTTGTGTCCCGTGAACCTGCCAAACTTGTGTGTCAAAGAGGTGGAGTGCTAGAAAAAAACATTGAAACTGACTCCATGCACTTTTTTTGTCATTTGTTGCCCGACAACTTTTTCACTTTCATATTGCTCCTAAATGGAAAATGCCTTACGTGAATTTATTGATGCTGTTAATTGGAGTTATTATTGCTCAGCATCTATCCTAAGTTTGGTTACTTTCTTATAATTCTGTCTTTTTTTCTGATGGTTTTTGTCATGCAATGAGTTTTTGGATACCAGAAAGGGTCTTTGTCATCTGGAAATTCGAGAGGGAATATATACTAGGCGTCTGCGTGCTGATGATGACAGTTGTAATTAACTGGTAGTTGTAGGAAGTTACATGGGCTAGTCACTTGTACTTTTCATCCGCTTCAGTTTGTATTCGTTATGTAAAAAGCTTTCTTTGCTACAGTGAAACAAATTTTTCAAACGTTTTGATATAGTAGGACATGCTGTTGATGGAGGCATAAAGACTGGTATTCAGTTGCAGAAATAACACAGTGGGAGAAAGAAATGTCAGTGGGACTTTGTTGAAGAAAATATTGGCCAAACAATGTTGTGAATGCATTTATGATGTGAAATTATTCAACAGAATCCAGTTTGGTAATTTTTTTTTAATTTTGTGAAAGAGTGTGGTGGAGCTGAATAAAATGATTTTATCTAGAGGATCAGAATACAACTGGAAAGTGTGTCGTCGTGCCATTGTCGGAGTCTGAAAATGCTCTGCAGTCAGGTGTTTTCTGTTTCCAGTTGACCTCAGCTTCATCACTGCTCCCGCTTTACCTGATGTTTTTTTAATCCCCTGAGACTTGGAAGTTGTTAGCTGGATAATAAGTTATATCTTTGTACCAAAATATGGAACCACATGCTATACAACCAAAGACTGAAACTTAAATTCATTAAATTTGAACACTGCCCACAGTTGGTTTCAGTTTTAGAAACGAAGTCTTAAACAGAGGTCAGGCCAAGTATTGAAAGACCCCTCAAGACTGTTTCTGCCCAAAGCAAAGGTGTTCAGGTGCCACCCATATCCAAATCTTTGACAGTTGGAGGAATGTGGACTGAAAAGCAAACTAAAACAAAGAAAAAGGGTTCAAGTTCAGGCTTGAACTGAACTGTGGCTGGAATGTGGCCAGGGTTCTTGAAGCACATATAAATTTCTGAAACAGTTTGAAACTTGCCCAGGAGACCAGCATTGCAGTTGAGGCCTTGTCCAAGTCCCCAGTTGGACTGAAAAATAAAGCTAGTGGGAACCAGGCCCAAGTACCAAGGTAGTGTGGCTGATAGGAATACAAGTGTTTGAGCACAAAGATATGATTAATTTCATCAAGACTTAGACTGGAGACTTTGTACAAAATACTTGGACATATCCAGTATACCTGTTGGGGCGAACACTCCGATTCAGTCTTGAGCAGTACTGTTATCCCGAGCTTGATTCCTTCTGCACTACCTCATGTTTGGAGATATTTTGTTGGTCTCAGGAAAAGAACTTGGCAACAACACTGCTGGTGACTAGATGTGAGTCCCTTAGCAGACCAGTAAGACCTTGTACTTTATAAAAAATTATGCTTGAGTTAAAACTTAACTTTGAGCATAGCACCATTTTTTGAGCTAGCACAAGGGCACATGACAAGTTTCAATTTTTTCTTCGCTTACATGTAGTTTGACTCCAGTTTAAAATACAAGTAGTAGAACCACTGATCTGCAAAAACTCTTGGTACGTAGACCATTACCATGCAGAAATCACCATCCCCGCATTCGATTTGTCCAAAACAATTTCAGTGATGGGTGTAGTTGAGACTAGTTCCCTCTGCACATGCCAGTGGAAGGATCCATACCCAGCACACAGTTTCACTCATTTGTACTGCTGGGAATGACCAACGAGCTGTCTGGATTTCAACACGGAAATCATACTGCAGAACTGCCCACCATTCTGTAGATCTGTGGGTGCATTGTCCCCAATTCAAGGAAAATTCTCCACCGGGCCGAGGCACTTAAAAAGTACCCCTACAGATTCTTTTGAATAGAAGGGTCTGTGTGGGTCAAGAAATTGTGGGATTGTGTAAGTATGGCCCGGGATCATCTCTGTAGATTCAGGGGCACCCATCTGGGGACAAAGCAGACAAAACTGGGATTGAAATTTTGTCAAAAGTGCCTGAGAAAGGTGAGGAATGTCATTTGAAAATTGGCTGCTGAGAAGATTTGGGAACATTCACTTTTTGGGAAGTTTGTTTTTGGCAATAATTAAAAATTCATCGGTTAACCTACTAAAAATCGAAAACCAAATGAAATCTGAAGGACCAAACAACACAAATTTTTTATTTGAGAGGCTTCAGGGACTTCAGTTGCCTGCTATGGGGCTCGAAACTTTGTTGACTTTACACTATTTTCAATGGAGCTTGAATTAGTTCAGTGCACCCTATACTGCATGAGATAATTTTCTGTCACTACCACTGTAAACTGACATAGCGCCCTCTGTGGCCATTCAAGAGAAACAAAATCGCCCATCCGCTATTCTAACTCTGTTGTGTATTATACATACAAGGAATGTTTTGAGTGCAGTGTTAAGAGCAGTGTCAAAATGGTGACAGATAGACTGGAGTACATTCAATGCTGTCACTAAAGAACGACTTTCCATTGTATGATATACAAACTGAAGCAGACTGGGATGTTAATAGCCAGCTGGTCCCAAACTCATCTGGTATTCACTACCCCTCCCTCCCTCCTTGAGAAGCTGCTGGTGGTCTAAATGTAGTCGGTGGTTTCAGAGTAGTTTCAAACTAGCTGGTCGTGTAAAAGCCAGGGCCATAAACAAATCCGGGGGTGGAGTTGGTGGACATACATCCAAACTGCACGTTTTGACCAGGAGAATGGAATTAAATCCCCCCCTCCACAAACACACACACTGTTTCGTATAGAGAATAAAAAATGCGAGCGATTTTGAGGAATTTTTGGGACTTGCCCACAACAAAAAAGTTTTCATCAGCAAAACTACACCACTTTGATGTCAGGTTCAGGGTTGCAAGTATACATATTAATTTAGATGTACATCCGTATCATCAACAGTGCCCCCTTTCCATTTCTTTCATCTTCTGTTTCATTTTTGTCATCCCCACTGGGACCACCAGTCCCCCACTCAACTTAACGCCACTGCTAAGAGTAGCAGGAGGTCTAAAAGCAGCTGATGGTTCAAAAATAGGATGCGGTTTTTTTGTCAGATTTTTTTTAAAAAGGTGGTAGTTTGATTTAAAAGTCGTTGATAGTCTGAAAATAAATGTGATGTCATCCCAGGAAGAAGGTTTGTACTCAAAAAAATCCTGCATATTTGTAGATTTGTGGTACTAAAAATGTTTTCATTTAGTTATATTAATTCTGGGTTCACAATTTTTACAGAGAAAGCTATGTAATGAACTATGTCTTCCCTGGATGATATCACAGCAACAGCGCCCTCAGTTGTTCAGAAATGGTAGATCATTTAAGTGTTTGAAAAAGTGCACTTCTCAGTTCATTTAACCAAAAAGGAGTGTAAAAGAGTTTTCATACACTGAAAAGTACAAAGTTGCAGAAAAATTGTCCAACAAAAATTCATTGTGGCTGCATTTTGAAAGTAGTTTGTGTTCTAAAAGAATCTGTTGATCAAACAGTAGCTGGCTGTATAATTCTGCAAAACTCAGCTGAGAACCAGTCCCGGGAAATAGCTTTTTTATAAAACATGCATTTCTGGTGTGTTACTTTTTCATTTAAAGAGTCCTAGCAATGAATCTTTCTTAGGTTTGCTTTGTTTGCATTTTACAGTGCTCTGCTTGATATGAAAACTACTTGAAATCCCTTTTCGGTTATATGTTATTGAAAAGTGCACTTTCTAGAACATTTTAACTTACACATTTTCAGGACATTTCATGACACTGTTGCAGCGAAGTCAATCAGGGAGGTCAGTGTTTATCAAATAGCTTTTTTTGTATTAAAACTGTGAAACCACAAACATGCTCATGGAAAATATTTCTGAGAAAGGGTTGTTCGTTAGTTTATTTCCATGCATTTAGAAAACAAATTAACAAAGAAGTTAGGTCAGTCAAATGTAAAACCATCATCACCGTTTTGTGCACAAGTCAATGTAACATTGAGGTTTTCTCCCAGGAATAACATCACAGATTTAATAATGGATATGGAATCACTCATGAGCATCAAATGCACCAGATAACCTCTAAAATAGCACAACATAGGATAAGGTGATTGGGACCAAAAGGTGCATTTTCAAGGGTTGTTTACTAAAAACAAAAACATTGCATAGACCCTTCTAAGTAAGCATTATCCGAGAAGAAATTTCTGTACGAAGTACCTCAACAATGGTGTTCCCATTGTGGTCCCCTGGTGGCTTCAGATTTCCCTCTGCTCTCACACACCCTTACTTTTTTTTTTTTTTTCTGTTTTAGGTATTTTCTTTTTCTCGCATACTTCACTATTAGTGTGTGAATCACAGACTATCTCTCCTGGGTTGGTTTTCCGACAAAATGTCCCAAATGTCAAATACTTCAATTTGCAATGGAACAGTATACCTTGGAATTTCCTCCTTTTTGAAGAATTGCAAAAATCTATTTCGTGAGATTCTCGTAGTGTATCATTTAAGTACCTCCCCCCCACAACAGATGCTCTTTGTGGGGTACTTCATATTGTTCCGGGATTCCCACAAGACACTATAAAGACAATGCACTGGTTACATATGGACCCTTGGTTTAACATTTTTGCATTAGCACACAACCTGTGCACGAAATGTTCATGAACTGATCATGGCAGTAAACAACCTACAATTATGATTTGCAAGAAAGAAGCAGTGATGGATCCTGCATTTACAAATCGGGATTAAGCTAAACACCTCAGCGGGGAATTGTCCTGATAATAATTTCTCGCTATAAAGTTATCAAATAAATAAAAATGATACAGTATCAAAAGACAAAGGTACCTTCCTTAATATTACAAAAAATCCAAGGGGGGAGGGGCAAGCCAGATGTACCCCTCAGGATCTCAGCTACAGCCATGTTTAACAATCATGGCTACAGCCAATGATAATATGTGTACAAATGCTTACAAAACTATCCGCAGCTGGCTGCATTTTTCCCATGGGCGCCCTGTGCAACTGTCAACCACAACCAAGGCTTACAGATGCAGAAATAAAAGTCTAGTTTTATTAGTCAACAACTGTAAAAACTGTCACTACCAGGACAAGTGCTAACTGTTATTCATGTACAGGTCTTAATGTTAACATTTTCCTTCAACAATAAACATCTCCACAGTGTGAAACAGTTTACAAACATTCACAAATAATGTATAACTCCCAAACCACTAACTGCTTGTAAACTGTATTGACAACATAGGCCTAATAAAACCAGCCCTTCCTTTAATGATTGTGGCTAATAAATTAAAATGCTTCAAATACATGTGGATGCAACTGGTTACACAAAGTAAAACACAAAGTAAAAAACAAAGAGAAACAAGAAAATATAGTCCATTAATTTTATAATTTGGCATACTGGAAGAAAACCTTTTTGACTATTTACAGCATATAACAATTATAACAATTGGGTTTGAACTTGGCACTTGTGTACACATACTGAGTTACAACTGATCACACTAATAAGTAGACAAAACTAGTAAGTACAACCATTTAAACTTTACAACTAAAATCTTTAGTTTTGAAAAAATACTATAAAGCAGATGGTGAGGGTGATTAACACCAAATTACACCAATAAGAATATGTCACGGAAAATTTTCAGTAAGTCAAGTCATCCTAATGTCCCCGACTAGGCTTTATTCAAAATAAAGACAGCCATTTTGAATCATGCTCCCCAAATCCACTCCAATTATTTAACACTCTGAAATGGGAAGGAACCTGACTATTTTGCTACAATTACTGGTACAGCTTCAAGACGAGTGATATGACTTTGTGTGCATAAATTGGAATTAACATCAGCGCACAAGAATATAATTTATAATTTCTCCCGCTGCATTTGCTTCATAAGTTTTTAAAAAATTTACACAGGTATCGCCTCACTTTCGATTAAAAATGGCTGACTCAAGAATAAGGCAGACTGATAACCAACATGTTCCGACTTCTCCAGCCTAGATACTATTAAATGTCTTTTAACCATTTTCCAATGGAGGGAGACTTTTTCCTCACCCCATAAAACTTGTTTGTGGTAAAACAAGGCGATGCTTGAGGCTGTTTGCACACAAACCACATTCCTGTGACTTTGTCATGAATGCTCGCACATTCCTGCGCTCATTTCATTTGCCAGCTCGAACCTGCTTTCAATGTAGGGGGGAACTATGCAAGGCAAGGGAGGCTGGCTTTATACCTTGAGAGTTCATGCCTGGCCACATTGCTGTGGGATAGGGAAAAGCAAATTTACACAAATCCCAAGCAGGATTGACATGTCAGTCTGCTCCCCTTCAACCATCAACCATGAACATTCACGTCAATTGCAAGGTAGAGTTGCATTTAACGACTCCCTCGCCAGGGCTAAAACCATCAGTTTCACTGTCTAACAGAGAGCAATCACAAAAATATTTGCTACGCTCAATCTGAGCTTCACTCTGTGGGTACGGCCTCCTTGCCACATCTCTGACCGCCCCCTCCAATGTCTGACAGTCATGATTTAGTACTGCCACCTGTGCTGTTCTCTCTCTCTCAAAAAAGAAGGGGGCTTGTTGAGAAGAGGCCCTAACATTAGATGAGTTCATTATTTTTGAGTTTGAGAAGTCCCTTTTTAGCAAGTTCATTCCAACCACACCTGTGTTTATTTAAAAGCAAGTCTGACCAAATCTGACCGACAAGTCTGACCAAATCTGACCGATGGAATGTTTCTTTTATCTGATGCTCCATTCGGTCTTTCTTCTGGGAATGACTTGCTCCAAAAGAACCAACTTCACTGTTTTCATTTTAAAATTTGATATGACCAACAGCTTTTACATACATCCTCAAAATTGGCGAGAAATCTCTTGACTGGAGCATTTCTCTTTCTGCTCCACTGGTTTTCAAACTCCACCTCATCTGTCTGCGAAGCCAACTTTGACTGGTCCTCCAGGAACGAGTAAACCCTGAACTGAAGGGGCAACAGTTCCCTCACCGAGGTACTTCAACTTGAACGTCTGTGAGATCTGAAAAGATTGCAATCAAGTCAAACTGACCAATAAACCTCAAGAAATATCTTTAACAACATATATCACAATTTTTCGATTCAATTTTCTTTATTTGGAGACTTTTGGGCAAACTGGAAAAGGTAGCGTCACCTTTTTTTCATTGTTTTTCATCTGAATGGCATCTAACTTACTTAGCTCTTAATTGCCTCATTCTGTATTTTCTGAATAACTGGAACTGAAACAGATTTGCCTTTTAATTGCTTTAAACTGAACACTGAGCTTTTACAACATTTTGGAAATGGGAATTTTGAACTTCACAGGTATTCCGCTCAGGATTTTTTCCAAACCATTATCAATAGCCAAGTTTGATCAGTGGTTATTTGTTAACCAGCCACTTTTCCATGGTTCCCAGGATACAGTTTATGCACAGGTTACCTGGGAAAATCAAAGGTTGACAAATGGTCACTGACTGAACTTGGTCAATGAAGTAAGAATAAAAATATGCATGTATAAGTCATCTTCGAAAAGAAATAACATCACACATGAAGTGTGAATTGCCAGATTCCGTGAAAATGCCTCGAAAATAGCAATCTGTTAATTGGAAAGCAATTAAAAAAATTTTTTTGTCTTCCTTTAAACTCATTTCACATGAACTCCAATAAAGGCTCAAAACGTCCTTGGCAATAGCAAAGTAACTTAGGCGTCCCTTGACTTCTGTGTTATCTCCTGTCACAGGTGAAAGCCAGTTAAAGTGAATTATGCTGTCTGCATAAAACCGGCCCCTCAAGCAATCAATTTTCCTACGACAGCTCCACTCCCAAGACTCACCTTTGCCAGTGCCAAGTTAAGCTCAAGTTCAGCAATTCGTCGCCCGATGCACATCCGGGGACCAAAGCCAAAGGGCACCGAGGCAAAACTGGAGTTGGAGCAGCGCACTCGGCCGTGCTCATCCCTCAGCCAACGCTCTGGTTTGAAGGAGCCTGGATCCTCAAATACCTTGGGATCCCGCCCAATGACATACTGCAGGGAACCGATGATTGTCTGCCGATTCGAGAAGAGTATATGATTTTTATACAAGAGCAGCAGACATTGTTCACAGTTAAATTACATGTGTATGCATTTCATGCTTCAAACCTTTATTAACCACACTGACATTTTGGTGTAACTATGTGTATCTCAAAATATGTTGAGCCAAATTTAATTTATGACTTGTTTTCTCCTTCTTAAATTACCCATTAGTTTTGCTACCCATTATGAGTGTATCCAATGTTGACATCAGCATGAATATTTGAGCTAATTGTTTTTAAACAGTATGTCTGATTTGTACAAAATTGCTCTCAAAATGACTGCAAGGCACCAGTGCAATAACCTCAGGTCCAGCAAAACAAAGCATTGTGATAACATCTGAGAAAATGTCATGGGGGTGGGGAGGGGCAATTTTCCCCCTCCCCCTGGCTTTTTAGGGTCAAATTGTGAGGATCTAGGTTTACTTCATACTAGTTTTATTACCACAGATGCTTTGATATTTTGTTTCTGAAAGAGGCCACCAAATAAAATTTCATATGAATTTTCCCAGTTCCGGTATCTATTCCCAATCTGGATTCCATATGTTCTTCTTACCTTTTTGGGGATGTGATAGCCTCCAATGACAATGTCCTTCTCCAAAATCCGATTATTGGCGGGCACTACAGGGTACAATCTGATTCAGATGAAATAGAGAGAATTTGCACACAAGAGGTCACCAAATGTATCCTTTTATCACTACTGTAAACTGGGCATGCAACTGGGGAAAAAAAAGCAAAAGGAATTTCCAAGGGTGGGTAAAAAAGCAAAAGGAATTTCCAAGGGTACCCCAAATTGTATTTATGCAAAAATGTGCATGTATAATGTGCACTGTTTATGCGGGTACTAAAATGTGACCCAGCCTTACAAAATGAGTCATATGTCTCCACGGCCACTTTTAATTTGAAAGCCTTGAAAAGACTCTTGTATAATGTAAATCAACAGGAACCTTCAACATCTTTCGCTAACATGTCCATTTTTATCAAGATGCCAGACTGAGTGATGAATCAAAAGAAAAAGCTCAGCGTGCTCTTTCCAATCCAAACTAGAGCAACATTATGGTGAAAACAGCCTTAAGACTCATTTTGTAGGATCCAGTCACAAATGATAGTGATGGTCAACATTTAACTTATAAACTAAATCAATATCTCCACCCAGCACCAACCTTAGAATTTCCTTGATGATGCTCTTGAGGTATGGCATTTGAGCTAAGTCGTCAGTATCTGCTGCCCTCATCTTGTCCGTGCCGAGGACTTTGCACACCTCTTTGTGCAACCGCTCTTCAACCTCAGGATGCCTGGACAGCTCATACAACACCCAAGCTAGGGTGTTGGAAGTCTGTCAAAAAGACACGCACACAAAAAAGTATCTAGTTTGAGTAAAGTTCTCATCGTTGAAAATCCCTGCAACCTGTAAAAAGTAAGTCTTGCATGTGTCGTGAGCAGCAATGGCCCATAAGGGCAGCATTCACCTCCAGTAACCTCAGTTGCATGAATCGACTGAGAATTTATATTTCTGTTACTCCCTGGATGGAGTGCTTGCCCATTGCAGGTTACTCCACAGTTGATGCCTGTGCCTAGCTTTATATCTCTTGGTTAAGGGGGGGGTGAAGTGGCTAGTGTAAGGACACAGGGTGTGGTCAGCAGCTGGATGTAAACCCTCCTGACCCGATCAAGAGCAACAAACCCTGAACACGAGGCTCACCCCCACAGAATTGCATCAGCATACTGCTTTCATGTTGCAATTTCCTTTTTTCTTCAAATCTAACTCCAAAATAAACTGCATAACAAAGATTGAACAAACAGAGCTCAGCTCTGATAAAACATAAACATTTTGCACATCTGTCATGCTGCATCTAGTGGATGATTTATTCAATGCCTGTCCGCTTCGCACCTGCAATCTGTACTTATTTTCAGCTTTTGACTTTTGACACCTAGCGAGCCCCATAACAGGAATGTACTTGTGAAGTGTTGGACACATATGGTATTATTTCTTCAAATTTGTCAGTGTCGAGCCGTGTGTATAATGTTTCACTATCAGTTCTTATTATGTCATTTTTAAAATCTTCTTGTTCTCTAAGTGGTTTACTTGATTCAAATCACGCCAACTTGAAGATGAAATTGAGAGTGAATAACAACATGGAATAATATTCAAAATAAGTAGCCTATAGAATTCAAATTTACTACATGAGATAAAAATACCAAATGCTACTGAATAGTTCATCAATCAGTCTAAATTATGAAAGAAGAGTCCCACCAAAACAACATAATTCTTTGAGCTGAGTCCAAACCATAAAATTGAATCCATCATGGGTCTTTGGACCCATGGACTCCGTAAATCAACATTTGATTTAACCCTAACCCCTAAGGGTGTATGTAAAATTGTATTGCAATTGGAGGATTTGGGACTGTTAGGGTTAATAATATAAAAAGAGAACTATATGTACTAGGATACGTCTGTGCCCCTCAATTTTAAACATCAGGATATCTTTTGCATTTTTTCCAGTAAGCTTGATAGAAAACGTATTTTGATATCAAATCACGAACTGTTTGAATGAGTTATATTTGCAAGTGGACAAGGATGGTTTGGCCTGTTTCCTGTCAATTTATTTTGTACATGCACTCTCTGGCACCTGATCTCCCCTAAGGCTTTTAAAAGTGGCCCCAAGGATGAATTACAGTCGGCACATTTCAGTAATAAAACCTCCCACCTGTTGTTTTGGAACTGAAGGTCCTGGGTGAATACAGGGGGGCCAAGATCCAGCTGTAACCGTGGCAACCACAGGGCAAGGTACCTTGTACTACATAAGCCCAGCCGATGTTCGTTTTGGGACCAACTTCTCACAGAATAACGAGTTTAATCTGGAATTCAAATCTTGAACTGAGTCTAATCCCACAGTCAAATCTTGACTTCCACTTAAACAATTTTCCACACGTTCGGTGACCTTGTTGGCTTCTTGGGTTGATAGAAGGATGCCACATACCCAGCATAGTACAGTTTCCAGGGGTATGGTATCAGATGTTTAAGTAATTTTGGTCTTGCTATGGAATGTTGCTATTAAGCGTAAGGGAAAATAGCTACCAACAGGCTACCAACCAATATATCATGCAATGTGCACTTCTCACACCCGGTTCCTGGCAAATTTTGCTAGCACATACATTAGTGGACCAGTTTGAGGACCATGAAGCTGCTTACCAGCTCCATCAAATCAAATTAATCCTGCTTGTGTGACCTTCATCATTCCAGCACCCAACCTGGCCATGAAACTTAATCTATAAAACACCCCAAATTCCACTGGTGGTCAGGGTATTTTTTTTCAAGCCAATTTTTGACATTCCCCCCCCCCACAAAAAAGTTTAGAAAAAAAATCCTCTGGTAAGGCTTTTATAAAAGGCAGCGGGGTGCTCTGCTTATGATTCTTTCAGATTTTGAAGGGTGTTTGTGCAATAGCCTCATGGTCAAGTCGGTTTGCATTGAGTGGTCAATCTGGTAATGCATTAGGAAACATCTGCGGGTCAGGTCATTTCCAAACAGCAAGCATCTCAGAGTTGCCCTCCAAAAAGATGCAGCAGATACTCTTGTCCTGCCCTCGATAAATAAAGGTGTACCTTTTGGTGAAACAATTTTTTTTAATTGAGAGAGGCACTGTATGTGATCTGCCTGACACATTTTGAGCATCAGCAAGAGCATAACTAGAACTTGGCAAAAATGCCCTCCTTGCGATCACAGAGAATCACAAATGACTGCATACTGGGTCAAATCTGTGAACCTGGAGAAATCTGTCAGAACTTACTGTGTCCACTCCAGCCAGGAGTAGTTCACAGGCATTGCTGTAGATCTCCTTCATGCTGAGTTGCTTGCTGGAGAGTAAGTACGTCAGGAATCCATCTGCTTCCAGTTCACCTTCACCCTCAGACTGCGCAGATATCTCCGCCAGTCGACTGTCCACTGCCTTCCTGGCTGTAGGTTTTGCAAACAATATTTTAGGGGTGAGCATAATGCTTTGGGCACTTTTTCACATGCTTTAAACTTTGTTTTCAACAAAATTACACAAGGACAAATTTTCTTTTGAAGTAATATAAAGCAAATCCAGAAAGGTTTTACCCTCAGTGTTATAAGATCAGTCCTTTTTTAAACAGCACAGTGTTGCAGTAGAGACCATCACAGGATCAGTTGCAAGACCACTCAAAGTCAACAGGGTGATCGTAAACAATGAGACAATGACAAAGGAATGTCTTTGTTCCAGTTCATTTGAATACTTGGGACTTAAATCCAAACTAGAGGTCCTCTGTTGATCTTGTGATAGTCTTGTGGGGGTCTTGTGATGATCTTGAGAACGTGACACTGGAATTTGATTTCTTAACTTCCTGCTTTTAGAATAAGGCTGTCAACCAAATGATAACCAAGATTTCCAGGGAAAAAAGACCTTAGTCCATCTTAAATCAAGACCAGAGTTGTTGTCTTGCAGACACAATCTAAAGTTGAAATTTTCTTGACCAGAGACTTGACTTGGAAAAAAATAGCTGGTGTCTTGACTTGACATGGGTGAAAATGACTTGTGTCTCGACTGGAACAAATTTGATGTTTGCAAGTTTGGTTGCAATAAACGACTTTTGTTTGAATAAATAAAAGAAAACAGGTAAAGCAAAAGCAAACCTGTCTGATTTCATCATATTCATGTTTCATCATTACAAATTCCATAGCATTATTACGGGAAAATGAGGTAAATGGGTCAGACCTGTTTTGTAAAACATTATAGGTCACATCAAGTTATCAATAAATAATGTCAGAAGCCATGTATGATTATGTAGGAAAAAGAAATAATTGGCCTTTTTCAATTGGAAAAAATTAACTTAAGACTTGACTTGATTCAAGAAAAAGGAATTATGATTTGCCTAACAGAAAATGACCTGGTTACTCATGGTCAAGACTGAGGTATACCAAATCTATGTTAACAGCCAATTCCGAACTAACGACATTAATTTCTACAAAATTCTGCAGCATCCAGAGACTGTTGTTGATGCAAAGTTGGCTTAGTGGTAGGGGTTTCTGAAAAGACCCCTTACCAAAACTGAATATGTAGTCCCAAGCTGCCTCATGGTCTTTCCATGGTTTGAGGCTATACTTCCTGAAGAACTCGGGTGATGTGACAAATAGGATCTGGCCGGATTGGAACATCTGGTGGATGGAGTCAATGAATCGCTGCGATTCGGTTGGAATCTGCTTCTCCAGGCAGCCAATCCTGGTCTCGAACAGAATCTTGAAAATGGCTGCACGAAAGGAAATTTACCCTATATGAAAGCCAAGACTAAAAATAAGCCAATTAAATAGATACCAATCTGAAAGATCGAGGATTTACTTGAGCCGACAAATTTACACCATTTTTGCAGATGTTTTGAGTATGAATGAGCAAGTATATTAAGAATCACTGATATTTTTGACTGCCACTTCAGGCACAAGAAGTTTCAAACTGGGCAAGTTGTTGGAATTGTGAGAGCCATGGTGAATAATAGGCAATTTCAGTAAAGTTACACTGTTTGATTGGAGTGGGGGGCTTTGGGGAATTTAGCACGTACATTCCATGGACCATTTGTACATCTCATTCGTCAGTTCGGGGACCAGCCCATTCTGGTTGGTGACATCTCGGATGTAGCGTAACCGCTGGACCATGTCCTCTATGACTTCATTGATGACCCCCACGTAGGCACTCACTTTCTTGGGTGGCAAGATCTTCTTGCTCAGTAGGTGTCGTGCTCGATGCCACTGTTTGCCCTCACTGTCAAATTGAAAGCAGAGAGTACAGACTGGCTTCTTGAAGGAACATTTACCAAAAGAAATTATTACCTTCACAATTTCTTATTAGAGGATGGCCATTTGGTATCAGAACAAAAACATAAGTTTTTTCTCAGCTAAAGTTTGCATTTTGACTACCCCTTGAATTTAATTGTTTTTCCAACCCTGAGAGAAGGCACTTAATCTGATGCATGTTACCAAAACTCTCCTGTTTTGGTTTTGACTTTTTAAAGTGCGTGAACCCTTGAAAGTAAACACAATCATACCATGTTTGGATGGATGTTATAAATCAAAAGGATGGGACATCCATTCATTTTATCCAAGCACAATAATTTTGAAATAAACACAAAAGTGCATAGAGTTGCAAATGTAAATAAAAGAACATTTGTTGAAATTGAGAGATAGCAGTTATCAAATGTTACTTCTGATGGCAAAATATTGAAAAGAATGTCTGTCAGTGTTATTGAACTTCTCAGAAAATTCATTACACTTACTGTGTGAGAACACCAAGCGACTCATTGCGATGCATTCTATATGCCTTCCATGGTTTCATGTCAACTCTCATCGGGTACTTGTTGTCATGGCGATACATCATGGCCACCAACTCCGGGTCAGCGAGGTTAACAAACTCCAGTGACCCCAGGCGCTCCTTCCATATGGGACCGTATTGTTTGGTGAAAGCAATCTGTTACAACAAATTTTTCTTGGCAAAATCACTGAGTTGTTTGGTATTAAAGGTTGTACACTGTAATTGTAAAGTCAAGCAATTTGGAATACAGAGGACCTGAAATTTTCCCTTTTGAAAATTCAAAGTATTTGATTCCCCAACCAGAAACCTTTTTCTTATCTTTCATCTATTCTCAATGCTCCAAACCAAACCAAATAGATTTTCTTCCAGGGAAAGTTAAAAAAGAAACAGGGACCTTCATGTGCCGTATTGTCCTTTAAATACAAAAATCATGATGGTGCACATGCTGTTGAAATTACTGACTAAACTGGGGGGGGGGGTTACCCCTCCTCCAGTCTGTGACCTGTCCCCACCCACACCCTCTGGCTTCCCTCAGAAGTTTGAACAGACTGCACATGCAAGTGTTCTGTACTGTTTGAACTACATGTACATGTATATACAACTGAACCAATGTATAGAAGCTTTCCCAACTGTGACACCACCCCTTATCCCATACAATTTACAAGTCCGATGAATAGTTGTGCAGTTACATGTATTAATCGGTTCCCCTTACCCTCCTCTAACACTGCCCCAGGTCTTGTCAGGGTAACAGTCCCATTTTGAAGCCCCCGGGTGGGATTTGTTTGTCACAAGCAATCAATTTTGCCATTGGTTTGCTGCATGGATCTGCTGCCCTCGTATAGGTGGGGATTTTTGACACTTTAAAAGTGCCAATCCCCACGTTTTGGGAAGAGCAGAAAAGGAAGGGGAACATTGATGGAGACATTACACATTTAAAAAGTGAGAAATCTGTGAATCATTTCCATTTGAGCCTAATTTCATCAATGTCAAACGAGGAGGGTTTATGCCTTTGTACATTCACAATGCAGTGTTCAAAAATTAAGTCTTTGTTTACTGTCTTATGGTTTGTACATAAAAGTAACGCCTACTCTTTTAAACCATTTTAGGGAAGACAAAAAAACAAAAACAATTGTTCTGTATACGAATGGAAGCTGAATGAAAGTGAAAGGCAAAAAGAAAAATTAAATACAAGTAAAACAAAACCAAAAAACAAGTGTTTTTAAATACCTGTACAATACATGTAGCCTGGTTATAGAAAATTGTGACGATGTGTGTTTGCTTGGTAAAGGTGGAACTTATACATTTCAGCCAGAAAAGTCAACAAGATAAATCTCTCCAAAAAAGGTTGGGACGAAAATGCTATATACTATAGTGCCATTCCGGGACTTCTCCCCTCCCCTGTTCTACAGTGGAACCATAGATTTGTTCTACAGGCCTATATGGGAACCAATGAGTTGGCTCCTGGGAGCAGCTTGGGGTGCACCCTGCACTTCCAGTGCGCCCCGTTCATTCTTCCTTGAGGCGTGTATTTGAAGTCAGTAATCTAAGACTTGACGGAAAAAACTGCCCCTGAAGAACAGATGTTTTGTCCATGTAATCGTGGCGAGAAAAAATTGCCTGTCAAAATGCCAAGAATCGTCGTGAGAGAATTCACCTCGAATTCTTGCTTATTAATGACAACCACATCCTTGAAGCCAGTGATTAGCCATAAACCGCACAGCTCGATCGTCACACGCAGCCGTGAAATACTAAATTCCGACTTGCATGAAGTTCCAAGCCCATGATCTTCGGCTAGTGAACCCAACATTGAACAAAAGATGTTTTTCTGTAGCTCGAGTCTCGAAAAGAGGTCGTTGCCTGCTTGCTTCATAACCGCGCGTCTTCTAATTACGTATATACAAACAGGGTCGGGAGCCCAATCAATTATCCATGATCATCATTCCGATGGGCCACTGGAGAAAGGTCGCGTGACTGTGGCAGTCATCATAAATGCTTGTCAACAAGCGGCACTGGATGGAAATGAGAAATCACTTGGAAGCACACCCGAATACTCCCATGACCAATCGCATTAATGCCGCTGGTCCTTTTATTGAGGGGAGAATGGCCCAGCAATTCAAGAAGAGCAAGCAGCTGTGGCTTGACTAGACTGGACGGAAGGGTCAAAGGAGATGCATTGACCAAACGTGAGTGACCGCGAGCACACGACCTCAAGTCAGGAATCAGTGGTTTTCCTCGAGTCGAGTATGAGCACATCCAATTTTCCTTTTTTATGGGGGGGGCCAAAATGCAGACGTTTAACCTCAAGAACTGACAAGCAAGCTCGATGCTAGTTTATCGCTCGGTATAGCTAAGGGAGTTTGAAAAGTTTAAGTCTGGAATTTGCAGAATGACGTAAGACTGGAGCCATACAGTTTTCTCAACCTGATTATGTAAAATCAAATAAATTATATACCAAATTCCTAGTATCCCAAGGTCACTGCCAAACAACGCCCGCGTATCACTACAGCTCCGTTTCAATTTTTTTTGCCATTCCAGTAATCACGGACTGATGGAGCCCCGCTGCTTATCCTGCCGAGAGCGGCAAACCCCATAATACGGTCTCGCCTTCTTAACCCCAAATTGCCTGCCCCCAATGATGACCTGCTCCTAAGCCAGGCCTTTCTTGACGGTCCTACACCTTCCAAGGACGGGTGGCGCTTCCTGAGTGGGGCACGCCGCTGCTGGGTCGGCTCCTTTCATCGCGCTGCTAAATTATTGGGTTTCCAGATTTAATTGTCTACCGCGGAGGGACTACTCGATATCCTCGCTTAACAGGGATGAAGGGGCTGGTGATCCAACAGGTGAAAAAAGTGGTGGTACCGCGGCGCTACCTTGGCGCCAAAACGACATGGATTGATTACAAGTGAGCCAGTGACCTAATTCAGCACAAGGGAACGTAGCTCGAATCAAACTTTGAGGATGGAAAATTACGATGGGCGTCCATGTAATGTTTTAACAAGCACAATTTGAGCGCAAATAACAAGACCGAAACGTTCTATAATGAATAACCTAAAAAACACTTCCAGCGTCCTGAACACTGTTTACAGAATTGCTATTTCCCTTTTAAGCGATTATCAAATCATGAAAAATCATTCGCGCTTTCTATTCAGTCATATCTTTTCAGTTAAAGAATAATCCTGTATGCCAAAAGATGCAACAAATAATTTCTCATGGGCTTGGAGACACGACTAGTTTGCTCCAAATCCCTTTCTGACATTTTCTCAAGGTTTATCTGAGTGCGGCACAATAACAGCTGGAATTAAAACCATTATGAAGTGTTCTTCTTTTGATGAAAACTACGTCAACAACAGCAACGATGTTCAATTCGAGACAAGTTCAGGAGTCGGCTCACAAACACGAAGTCACTCCTACTAGAACATCATGATTTTTGAAACCATCGTGAGTGTCCAGTATATGTAGTATAGTACAGCCTATGTTATAGATATACACGTACCAGTAAGTTCTAAGCTTGGTATCACAACCCAAAGCCCGCCAAAAGAGTATTACATTGTACATGTACTTCTTTCACAACTTGAAAATTCGATTAACATTAATGTGTTGCTGCTCCATGTCCAATTACGGGAGGATAATAGCGGCGGAGCGCTGCATTCATTCCGGGGTAATTGCCGCCAGACATCCCTCCCCTGTGAGGTGTTCAACTTCGCGCTTTTTCTCCCCGAGTCCTTGGAGCTCGCCTGCACGCCTCCTTCGTCCTCCCGCACCAAGGATAGTAAATCACTATGTGCCGTTTGAAGATAGCCGCTCTCCGAAGTTCGTTCACCTGTGTTTACTGCCTCCTGGTCAACCTACGAATAATAATAAGACCCTTCCCCGGGGGAACGCCCCTACCTATACCCAGGCAACGAGAGCCACACGAGGACAGCCTTTTGTCCAGGCTCTTTTATCAGTCAGCAATTATCCTGCCCCCTTGTGCCATCCGCTCCCTGGCAAACAACGCAGGGCAAATACCCGACTTATGTGGAAAAATCTCCTCCCCGTTTCGAGGGTTGCTCTTTCACACCGGTTGGTGTTTTGTCGTGGTAAAGTGGGCCATTGCCGCCGGCGTATTGTCCGTCTAGCGGGGATTGTTGTCGATTTTCCCCATCAGTTCCTCTCACGTGAGGTCCTGACCGGTAGTGCCTTCTTGCAACGTGTATCAGGCATATCAAGATTTGCCCACTTCACGTTCGTTGTGTAGCGAGATGCTTTTGGGCCACATTTTCCCACAACTCTTAAATTATATAGGGCTGATGAAGACGCAGTTGTCGTTTTTATGATATTTAAAAACAAGAATGTATCATCATGTCCACAACAACTGAAAGACGAAAAAGGGTCGCATCGGTATCCACGCATAACCGTTTTCACAGGATTGACGTTTAAAACAAAAACCGCCTCTTTGAAAGTTTTTATACCAAAAATGTTTTGAGCAACAGATCAAGACCATCAAAACATTTTACCCTAATGATCGCATGAGCCCGGAAATAGCTTCTTTTTTACCCCACGTGTACGTATCCCACCGGTACGTACTCCAACACTGGTCTGATCAGAACTGAAATCAACACTCAACAGCACTGCTCCTCTTGAAAGCCTTCACTCCTAATTACCCAAAGCTTCTTAGCATATCCTTTTCAATTTCAGGTTGTCCCCTCACTCTCTTCACACCTTGGCGACAAAATTCCGAGACAAGTCACGTTGTGAAATGCCAACGTTTGGAACAATGATGTCCCCTTGGTCTGATGTGGAACGTGCATGCTACCTGAACAAGAAACCAGAGACACTGTCGAGACACCACAAAAGATCCACGTTACCAAGACATGCTGGCTGGTAAAAGGACGGCAACAACACGTCTCTCAAATAAGCTTACGAAGACCACCTACGAGCGTGCATATTACAAGACATGTACACTGTATACAGGCCCGTATCATGTAATTTCCCAAGGTCAGGAATCTGAGAAATCGGGAAATTCTACGTCCTTTTTCCCAGATATTTACACTGCATTCATGCACATATTAAATTTATAAGTATGTAAATGCAATACATAAATGTGCTGATGAGAGCCGATTGACTTTTAAAGAGAGCTCTGGTACATGTAGGTTGTTGCTCTCAGGCTGAAGTTGGACACACGACAGGTTCAGAATACGAAGGCGAAATAAAGCAGACTGTTCGAATTGTCAACTTAACTGGTCCGTCTACGGATCCCTTAAACAGTTGCGGAGGAAATGAAGCTCCATCAAGCTGTCCTTTTCGCTCGAGATCAACCACAGCGTTAACGTATAGTGGATTCAGTGACAAAAATTTGTCTTTTTTTTTTACATACACACTGCTTTTTCGTCAGTAGGAGTTGACGCAAAAACAGTCTGAAGGGATGAGGACACTTGTTTTGGCCGCATGGTCACGGAGTCGCTTCGCGATCAATGTCCTCACCAGTTGTTCGCACAAGTAACCTGTGTATATTTGCCTAAGTCGTACTAAATTTGCCATCGATTTCTTTTGCAGCTAGCTCAGTAGCAGTACTTGTGAAATATGTGTACGTTCTAGCATTTGCCAAACATCGTCATTCGTTGGGCAGGGCAAAAATCCAAAATTAAATTAACATCTCCCCGACGCAAATCCATCCTTACAAATAGTTGTTCGCGGTACCCACTGCTACATCTGACTCGAACCAGCCAGCCGACACCAGTAGCTCTGTGCACGGTCGATTGGGAAGTCGTCGGTTCGAATCCCACCCGATTTCGCTTGTGTTTTTTTCTCACAAGCTTTCAGGGGAAACACCGAGTATACAGTGTTGCAATACACGTCAGGCAGGGCAGACATCCGAAATTAAATCGTCATTCGTGTCAAGATGCGCAATACAGCCAAAATTTTAACCTGTGAGGTAAAATGTTAATTCGCATAGAAAGTGACTTTGTGCCAAGTCATTGCCCTCACTGTAATTATATCGCTGCTACCATACCAGCCATTTGATGCACGGTAATGTAGTTGATCTTGATAGCGTTCCATTCCCGTCATTTCGAAGAAAACGCACACTATAGACGCGGCATCAGGTTGGGCCTGTGGGTGGCGGACATCATTCACATACATCCGGTTTAATAGTGATGAATTCCAAATTACATGTTATGTAGCATCAATGCTTCTTCTTGGCAAGGAATTTCCGTGAAATGGCCTACAAACTACATTAGTTATCGCTCCTTTATTTAAACAAACAACTTATATCGCCACATCTTGTTCAACAAAAACTTATGATTTTATGAAGCCTTATCATGGGACTACCGATCAGCACTTACAGCAGATTAAGCCAATCCGTTGTTAGTATACCGTAAGGCCAGGCCTTATCAGGGAAGGGGTGCTGCCAGCGTGCTTTTAACTTCCTAAGCAGTTTTAATATACCGTCAAAGACACAATAAACTTTGAAGAGATAAAAAGGATACCAACTTCCACGGAAGTTGCAATCACAGAAAGTGATAACGTCTTTGAACTATGGATTGTTATAAGTATTCTGTTCCTTGCTCTATGCTTGGAAACTGTGCAAAGCGTGATATCTGGTACCTTCAAAAATCCTCAACCTAAATAGCTAGGTGGGCCAATGGCCGCGTGGTTGGAACTTCTCTGGAAGGACCGTCTCGGGTACAGAAATGTGAAATACACTCTTCATACCAAGATTTGAGCTCTTTATTCAACAGTGGCCATGTTCAAACTATTAGAAATCGAATGGAAACAATAGGCCTAAATGTTCCCACTCACAGCCAGAACCTTGATTCGGTTTGTGAAATCGCAACAGCTTTGCAACTTACTCCAGCGAAAGAACGGTTTATAAATTAGGATAAGTACTAAATCATGTAAATAGGCAGGTGATTTTCAGAGTGTGCTTACCTGATGTTCATAAATGCGGCTGAGACCATTTCCAACTAGGTAAGTCCCTAGCGTCCCAATAAAGGGCCACCCTTTCGGCCCAGGAATCTCGTCGAAAGGCCGAGGCCGCACGTGCACATCGGCTGCCAGGGAGTCATGCTCTACCGTTGCAGCGTCTGTCGTTGAACCGAGTCTGGCAGGGCAGATCCCCCACGACCCAACCACGGCATGTTCGGTGGTTGTGCTGCTCCCGCTGGGCCTGGGCACGACGACCTCGTTCAGTCGGTGCACCTGCACGGTGCTTGCATCTGAGCCCGACTCCTCAGTGACCGGTGGTGGTGAGCTCGGGCGCTCCCGGGGAATTGCCATTGTGCTAGCTGACTGCTGCACACTGAGGCGAGATGCACCGGCGAATATCCGTGAAAGTTGCCTCCCAGCCATGGCGACTTGGCTTAGGAAGCTATTTCCTTCAACAATAGTTCCTGAGTTTAAATGTCAGACGCACCTCCTTGACATGCTTGAGGAATTTGTGACGAGGGAGGAATCGCCGTTCGGACAAGAAAACACTTGCGACACTGCGACTATCAGCTCTGACTTCTCTAACCGCAGCTTACAAAGCCAAAATAAATTATGTTCAAACGGCTGTGTAATCGACGACAAACGTATCCCCAAATAAACAGCCTAGTTAGTTTGTGTGGATTTCGGATAACCAACTTCCTCCGCCGTGACCGCTAAAGAAAAGTTTGCGAGAGAGTATTGGTTTTCGCCGAACAAACAACGGATGGACCTCCGAATGGTCTGGGCTATAACATGTCAAGCATCGACACAGCCCACTTTCCTGTCTTTGCGCATTGAGTTACACAGCTGATGCGTGCATGGGATTCCCTCTGCATTTGAGCCTTTTATCCCATGTGCAAAGCACGTGACACGATTCCCCAAACTTCGTGCATGCCTCCAGGCTTCCCCGTAATCAACGCCACTAACATGCGTATACATTGTGCTGTACGTGCACACACGTGCAACGCTTGAGCGGTCACTTATGTCACTGCCCAGACCGATGATTGGTCAAACTGCGCCGAAAGTTACACTCCTGCGAGTTTTCACATTCCACCAGGCCGCGGCTTGCCAAACACGGCAAGCTATCGTTTCCCAACCCACCCTCCTTCTCAGATCAACTCGTCCAGGATTTTCTTTCAGAGCAACGGGTCACCGCATAGCGCAATGTACCCCCACAGAGACCCTCCTGAGGTAAATCCGGATGATCAAGTTTCGAATGCGAACCTCTTGGGTCATATTTGGACAATAGGTCAACGACGATACCACCGTGATAACTCGTGCATGTAGACATGGAGCTATCCTTTTTATAGCTCCATGATGTAGATAAATGTACATGTAATGTACATAATTGACGTACATAGGCCAGGGGTATGTTTGTGCACATGTACAATGTACATGTACATGTACATGTGCAGTATTTTGTACATGCGCGTGCAACAGGTGAGGCACATGATCACTTAAGATACGCCCGACCCTAGCCCAACAGTTGCTAAGCAACCAACACCGACACACTTGTTTACGATGACGTATCCACTACCTTGAAACAAAAGTATCATCTTGCAAGACAAGTGATGAGAGATCAACGGTCTGACTCGATGGGGGTGTCCGCAGCATCGTGATTCATGATTCATAACCATTGCTTCCGATCCTCAGTTTAAGTTGCATCATGCCTTCGCAGAATCGACTCATGTTGCAGTTATGGCATGCTGTTAAGCGGAACTCTAGGAAAGTGGAACATCCACAGGGACTTTCCATTGCTATCAATCATTTCAGTTTGCCGTCTGATTTGATCTGGTTTGACGTAATCTTATACAAACAAGGACTACGTGCCCATATGAACAAAGGCCCCAAAAGACCGCAACGAGGAACGCAGAAAGCCTTCAAAAATGAAGACATTGATCAACAGTATCAGTAATTTTCTTGACGCTAACCTGGTCCTCGTTAATTAACGACGTTACTTAGGTTTGTCACGTTATGTTGAGGCCAGGAGAGGGTCGAAGAGTAGACCCTTCGTTTGGTTCATTCCACATCCACATTGATTCTTCGGCGGTACGGATAGTCCCTTTAGAGCTGATATTGATAAGAGCATGGAAGTACACGAGTCCAAGTTGTTTCCTAGCACTGAAGGAAATGTCATTATTACACTGTTAAACAATTTCTGCTAAATAACAGTGGATTCTATTGTCAATTGGCATTACAGAAGTTGATGTTTTGTCATTTTTTACTGTCATTTTTTTTCTGTTTACTATGGTAAGAAAAAAATTAATTCGTACGCACGGATTACCAATTCGTACATACGGATTACTAAACTGTATTTACGGGTTAGTAATCCAAATGTTGCATTGCATGACGAAACTTCAGTTCATCTGGTCCGAGTGAGACCAAGAGAGGGTGCGATTTCCCAGCAACGGAGGCTCCTTTGGTAGGAACTCCACTTAGCTGGTTCCCGAATGACAATGAGATACTTGTGTTGTGTACGGGACGGTCTGGCCCTACCAGTAAACAACACTCCCCACCCCACTCTTTTCAACCGATTAGGGGGATGCTTCTGCTCATGACGGAATTTTGAATGTGGCCAGTGCCTAGGATAATTATTTACAAAACCATACGTCCGAAAGAGTAATTTTTCTTACCCTGTCCTAAATACATTTCCATATGAGTCTCCTGTTAGTATACAGAGAAAATTGACAGGAGAATGTGTTGTCCCAAAACAGCAACTTCTGTAATGCCAATTGACAGTAGAATCTAAAAGTTAGTTTAAGGAATAGGCAATAGTTGTGCATGCTTCCCGGTTTTCTATCACGGTAGGCCTAAACAAATTGGATTTTGGGAAACTTTGAAAATATGAGTAAGTTGTCATGTCAGTGGTTCTCCCGAATGTGTCAAAGTCATTGACTTCGGGGGGGAGGGAGGCGTCTCGGTGACCGTGGCCGGCAATGCTAGGTCAAATTTATCTCATAGAAGGGACAGAGTCACTCGTCAAACCCCCAAACAGTCAGTTAATACAGGTCACAGAGCGGCCCTCGTGTCCACATGTAGGCCGCATCCCCGGAGGGAACATGGGCATATAGTCCCTCCCCCAGATATTAAACGAAAACAGACGGTGAGCTCATTGCACAGTGCACACGACTTCTTTGAGAATTATTGTGTTGGTGCCCTTTAGCCCCTAGCGTTTTAGTGGGTTCTTATATGGGGTGTCTTTAAAAAAAAAGTAACCGGGATAAGTTTGTGTATTTCTTGAATGTGGCTAATTATTTTGGTAAACGGTAAGCATAATCCGTTTCATCAAGATGTCCTTTTTTTGTATGACACCAAGAAATCCAAATTTCCATCGCAGATAACTGAACATGAAGCGATCAAAGTCAGAAATGGCTTGGCACCTTTTGGTGTTGAATTCATACTGTCCAGAGATGCCTTTTTTCAGAATTACGTATGTTTGCTCTAATCCCAAAAACGCATTTAAAATGATAACCTTTTAGAAGTGATGAGAACAATGGCAGAAGTTTGCGTTAAAAGAAATGGGGGCATGTTGAAGGACACAGGGGTTGGGCTGCGGCAAGAATACGCCCCTAACTTTGATTGTCTTTGAATTAATGATTTTGGTAGCTATAATTAGTGCTTCACGCTGTACAAACCTGCGTCTTGTGCAAAGCCATTTCTGACACGGCCCATTAAATCACTTTGTGCTTAGTCATGTGTGATGAAAATATGGATTTCTTGGTGTCATACAAAAGAAGACATCATACTGAAACAGATTATAGTTCCCATTTACAACAAAAAGTAGTCACATGCAAGAAACAGATTAATTAATCTCGGTTTCCTTTTTAAGACACCCTGTTTATTCATGGCTTGCCAACCTAAAACAGGCCCTAAATGGTGCGACTTTTTTGCAAGTACGACCTCACCTTTTGTTCAAAGTCTTTATTATTATTTGGAGTTTGAAGAATTTTGGCCCTGAAATACTTTATGAAGTGGCTGTAAGGACGTTGAAAATTTGGAAATGGGACAACAAGAAGGAGAAAAAAGTGCACTTCAAAATTGTTTGTTGCATGAACCCTTTCAAGGGTGGCTGCAATTTTTTCTGTGACACAAATTTCCTGCAACTTCATGCCCTTTTTCAGTGTATGAACACTATTTGAAATAATGATCCCTATAGGCCTAAGGCTCAATGCATTAAAAGGGCACGGTTTGAAACATTTGAAATTATCCATGCTTTTCGGGACAACCGAGGGCGCTGTTGCAGTTACGTCATCCAGGGAAGACGAGGATCGCCTTTTTTTCTGTTCGAATTGTAAATCGTTTACTGAGAACATTTCTGAGTAAGGGTTGCTTGCTTGCTTATTGCTCTGTACTTCCACAACAGTCGACCACCAAAGAAAACTGAAGCCCGAAAAAATGCTGGAGTTTTGCAAAAGTCAAAAAGGTTCCAAAAATAAGGAAACAAACATTGAATATGGGGTTCTCTCAACTTCACTGAGAGGCAAAGGTTCCGATTTTGGAAGAATTCCAAAGGAACACGTCTCCATTGAAACAGGAGGTGGTGGACACTCTTAATCCACTCAGAATTTTCCCATATGCAAGATCAACAGGAGGTTAGCATCCTCTTTGATTTGCAAGTTTGTGAAATAAGTTTTTATTTATTTGCGTAATTTTCGGATTACAATGGGGAACGGGCAAAGGGGGAGTGTCAGAGGGCGGTTCAAGTGCCTTGCGGGCCAGCAAATCCCAGCGTGACCCGACGACCACACGCAGGGCTGAGTTGTAGTCCCCTTTTTTGTCTCGGGAAAGAAAGAAGAAATAAAAACCCTTCTTTTCGGATCTCAAAAGAAAGAACTTAAAGATCTCCAGTGGCTGAGCAAATAACCTGAAGTGTCAAGATTGTCGACAAGGAGATTGGGAATGAGTGGGGCAGATAAATGGGGGGGGGTCTTGATCCCAGGACGAGGTCAGTCGGCTATTAGTATTAGTCTTTAATTGAATAGGACGTTAAGAGAAAAATACTTACAGAAGGCGGCAAATCCGCTTTTGGTAGAAAAGGGTTCGTGAAATCGTCCAGCGCATGCACGTTAGGCCAACAGAAGGTTGATAACACCATTGCCATTATAAGTTGTTTCCAAATCTGGGCGTTGGTTGTTTTCTAGTCAAGATCGTGGAAAATGCACTGCAATCCGGTCTAGCCTTTGAAACATCTTGTAGTTGCTCAGTCGGGAACTGCAGATAAGCGGCCTATAGAATTCGTTCACGTACATACAGTGAAAGATTTCACTGAAGACTGTTAGGCAAAATTTACACATTGATTATGATTTCCTGATGTGTGGCCCCCAATTTTTGAGTCGTCTCTTTGCTAATTCCCAGTGCTACGCGTAAAGTAGCATTTGGCAATTGATTGTTTGAGTGCAATGAAAGATGATTACACTCTAAAAACTCCCGGGACAGATTGACCCAAAATTGGGTCCCAATTGGCGTGACCTTTTTCTGGGTCAAAGATTACCCCCTTTTAGATCGTATTTGACCGTTTCTGGGTCATAATTTGACCCGTAAAAGGGTCACGCCGAATTGGACCCAATTCTGAGTCAATCTGACCCGGGAGTTTTAGAGTGTAGACCCATGACTCCTTTGTAAACAGCAAGGGGTGCGCTTGTAATCAGACTTGATCCTTCTCACATTCCTCGTTCACCTACTTCCATCTACTCCACCTTTTCAAAGAGCTGAGACAGACGATGGACCGATCTACGTCACTGTGCAGACATTATGCGACTTACGAGAAACCGTGTGCATGGTATGAGGAAAGTATTTAGCTCAGAGGCCCAGGAGTTCGTGAGAAATTGGTGCAGGTGTCGGGAATCTCTTCAAACTATCATGTTTTAATGTTAGTCAGGAAGACTTGCTACAGGCCCTTTTTGGCCGAGTTGCATAGGCGTAAATCCGAGGGGTATATACCCCCCCACAAACACACTTTGAGGGGGTGGGCTATTGAATCATCCCCCACATTTTTGTGGTGAGCAAGAAAATTGAGCAAATTGTGAAGAATTTTTCAGCCTTCCAAACGACTAAAATGTATTTAATATCAAACGGGAAAACGACCTAAAAAGCCATAAATATGCCATTCTAATGTAAGATTCTGTGTGAACGTAAAGCATATTACAGACATACATCTGTATTATGACTATCGCTCCATAGTGTCTGTCACGTGGTGTGAGCGCCCCTCCTCCCCACCTTGGCTCTTTTCAAATTTCCAAAGCTGGGCAAGTCACTCCCCCCCAATCCCCCCCCCCCCATTTCCAGCACAGATGTACGCCACTGCTGAGTTCTAGATTGCCCGCATATCGCCAAGTTCCGGCTGCCTGAATGTCTCAATGTCGTAGCGTAGCCACTTATCCAGAAGCGCAAGTTGCTGTGGGGTCGTGTGTTTTGTAGTCCGTTACAACGGGCTCCGTGACTTTTAGGCTAGAGCAAAAGTTAAATATATAGCCTAACTCGCGAATGGCACATATCCACGTCGCCATCGTCAACACGACTGAGTGTTTCATACACGACCCATGCCAATTTCTTATACGAGGAGTTCTACATTTTGGTAGGAAGAGAATGCCATTCTTTAAATATTTCCTTTTTGCGCCTGGTTTGCACTCGTCTACTTTTCCAACATCAAGTCCAGGTGATAGAAGACCCCACCCCTTTTTACGCCATAAAAGGAGGGGAGAAATATTTTTTGGAATAAGGTAATTCCACGAAAAGAGAGAAAATGATAATCGGGAAACCACTCTTTACGAATTGTGGGGAATTTGATCACGTAGAGAGCGTCCACAGTGAGAAATATACACCCTCAATTTTGGACAGTCTATTAAAAACCTTGTTGATGGTCTTTTAAGGGAGTTCGGTCTCTTTTGCCTTCTTTTTAAAATCTTTCACAGGGTGCAACATCTAGCAAAAAATGCTCACGATAAATGCAAACTATAATGTGGCGTATCTTGCAGTGGCAGTGGTACCTACGTGAATGATTACAATTCAGGTGGGACCTGCACGACCACCGCAAACCCTACAAATAAACAACCACTGGGTTATAAGATCGATTCACTTCCCATTAGTGACACTAAAGTGACACCCCCGTAACCGTTTACCGAGATTGCGGAAATAAAAAGGCGGTTGGGCCTGCAGAGGCTCCAGGCATTTAATACGGCCTGGTTGTTGACGTACATGTACGTGCGATACGACAAATCACGGCGCCGTTTACGGTCTTGCGGTTTGGAGGCGAGATGAATGGACATTATTTAAGACTGGGAAACGTGTAAGGAGATTACCAAACAATTTGAAACTACACACAAAACTGGAAAAACAGATAACAACACAGGGAGCTACAGAATTCCAGGCGGAAAATGATCTTTATTTACAAGCCAACAATTACCGTGGTAAAAGTGATGGTCCCGTGAAGCTAATGACAATCCACACTAGCAATGCTTGTGTCTGTATATGACCCTTCCTCCATGATATGAAATAGGGGAAGGAAAATGATGCATCAGGCTTCAATGGCAATTAAATGCATATATTTGGGGTAGCCACCTTCCCTGTGATGTGATGAGAAAATTAAAGCTGGCTTGTTTTCAGCTCTTTGAAGTATCTCATTTTCTTGTAGGGCCTACAAGACGACTCATGGGAAACATCAAGATGACCAATGCTTTCTTTTTTGCAGTCTGTGCATCCCACTGTACTGGGTACACTGACCACTGTGACATTAACAAATTCACCCTTGAAGTAAGACAAACTAGTGACCCATGTCACCACTCATGGATAATAATTACATGTCATGCATAGCAACCAAATCTGCCGTTAATACTCAATGGGTACATGGTGGAGATTGCCAGTTGCCAGTGTATTATTGCTTTAACAGTGGTCAGCAGTGATACAAGTGTGATTCAAGGCGTCTTAAATTTTTAAGTGACAAATTCGTACGTACCCTATTCATGCATGTTAACTTTCCCTGAAATTTCAGGTTAACTTTCAGAACCAACTTCAATAATCCCTGGGCGATGTGCTTTACTAGTAATACTGGCCAAACTACAACTACAAAAGAAAGCCACGCCTGCCGTTTCTAGAGATTTGCATAAAATCCCCAAATTGGCAAAGAAGAGCCACCATATTGTCTGGCTACCCACGGAGAAAGCTCGTGCATCATTCCAGTGCTGTGTTAATACCCAGTGCTGAATCAAATTATGTAATTACTTGGATGGCAAGTTGTGGGGATTTTAGGAAACCTTCTGCCCCCATCTGGCAAAACTGAGATCCACAAGCCAGCTTTGGCCGCTGGCCAGGATTCCCAGTCAATTAAACTGCGTTGTCCAAAATCTCCCAAGCTGGGAAAAACCTGCGACCTCATTTGACCTGCGACTGCCGGTATTCCTGGAAGAGTCACTGACTTGTAGGAAAAGCTGTGCTCAGTGATGCCATACTGCTACGTGGGGTGGGGGGTGGAGGGATTGGGCTGAAAAGAAGGATGCTTTTTTGTAGGCTCTGAAACAGAGTTGATTGCAAGTGATTCTAGTGCACTCATGGAGAGAAGCACAATGGAAGAAAGCAAGGCAAGGCCTTGAGAAGAACAATATGCTGGGGTCATGAGAGGGTGTTGACCAGGAGTCAGAAAGGGGATGGGGGACAGTGCCCAGATCTCTGTCTGGCTTTGTTACTTCGCCAGAGGTTCTACAAGATGCTGAAACAAAATCACGAGAAAAGAACATACACAATGCACAATGCCATTCGAAAGTGCCAATCATTGATTTCGGAGTTTAAAAAAAGGATGGAACACGAGCTGTTGGAATTAAAGTCGCTGTTCTCTGTATTCCCACTCCATGAACAAAAGATTTGTAATCTTTTTTTTTAATGACAGAAGTGGTAGAAAGTGGTTCCCTCTGCACATTCCTATGAAGGGAATGGGAACCACTCACTTGTACAGCTAGGAATGGTCAATGAGCTATCAAAGATTTTTATACAGGCTAAAGCAACTTCTGCGAAATAGCAGGACACTCTAGGAAGGGGTCAAAACTCAAACTACGAGCAGGTCCACAGATGTCGTAACATGTGAAGATAGGGAATTGCGTTCAAGTGGAATCCACGCACGGAATTGGTAGATATGCCCCAGAGTTGAATCTTTCCCCACCACATCCGCTGTGTTGAATGCAATGGCTCTTTCACTTGGAACGCCACTGGGAGTTGGATTCTAGGTGTTCCTTTCACGGCATGGCTTCGAAAGGTGAACTGCGACTCTGCACTTTTGGAACACCATTCCATTTTCCAGAGGGTTATCTTTTTCAATAAAGACTTGCGCAATGATGTACAGATAAGAACCTGTCCCTTGATGGAAGTGCACCCTGGTTAGTCAAAGACGAAGACCCTGTTTTTGAGGACCAACGGCCAGAAAGGTATGCAGGATGTGGACTGCCACCTGCACTGCATTTCGTTCAGAAACTGGTTCTGTTCAATGTAGCCTAGTGTCTTTGGGCTGTCTCTCATGTCTGCTGCCCTCTATTGGTGGGTTCATGACATCATGATGAAATTGGTCTTACAGTGGACTGTGGAATAAAAAAGTACTTGAACGTATCAAAAATGGGAAACTTGAATTATCATATATGGCAATTTTTTTGCTGATATTGGCAGTCATACATCAGAACATACAAATAGAAAGGTCACACCAACAACAGAATGAAAAGTCTTTGCAGAAAAATTTCAGTTTGGACAGAAAAAAAAATATTTGCTCTAAGATTCCAAATCCATGTGACATTTCACCCAGGGAAAATTTTTTTTGAAGAGTTAGGCCTTTCTCGGTTGCAGGCTCTATAAAAAAGGTTCCCTTTGGCATGAAGGCTTTGGGCCTGGTGGGGAATTGCTCAAAGGTTTCTGAAGTGTGTGTACCAGGGAGAAGTTGCTTCTAAAATGACAATTCTGTGTGGTTATCTTAAACAGCAAGAGGTGAAGCAAAACTTCAAGCTATTCAAAAGAACAGTGGCAAAAGCATTCCCTTTGGCGCTGTTTGTCAGGCCGCCTGTGACTGGGACAGTGAATACCCTTGTGCAAGGGCTTGGGATGAAGTTGACTACAACCCTGTGGCATGCACCGTCCCCAACAACCCCAAACCTGGCACACCCAGGGACCTACCAATGAAGTTGGAGACTGGGTCCTTGCCGTCCTCACTGCGCAACGTCCCCGTGATGTCCTGGTTCTCTATGATTGGCAGGAACAGCTGCACAAACTCTGAGGTGTACGGTGGGGCAATCATGTCCAGCACCTGAGGTCAGGGGTCAAAGTGAAGACAATTGAGAAGTGAATAGTTAAGCTCCCAAGTGTTGAAAGTAAAAATCTTTATTAAACTTCATTTAAAGCCATTTCTTGTCTTGTCCTTTTAAACTGCCACACAGACTTGGGAATGCATGCGGTTTATTTTTCAATTTCCTTTGTGAAGCGCTGGAATCACAACAGATATCACCATCAAATCTGGAACAGAACTAGGGTGGCAGCAAAGGTTGCAATCGATATTAAAGATTGCTAGAAGTCTTGTCCTGGACAGAGTTTTAGCAACACAAAAATCTCACCATTCCAAAGTTATATTCACTGACTGGAAATATGTCCAAATGGTGACAAAAACAGTCTTCAAGGGTCTCGTTCCAATTTTGCTGGCCAATCATTCAATGCTACTGACTGATAAAGGTTAAGGCAATTTTGTACAAAATATCATCCTGGTTTTAAATGATGTGCTCCACAAAAAAATTACCATATTGGGCACTGTTTTGAAGGCAGTGATGTTGGAAAACAACCAACAGTAACAGACAGAAAGGCTCTATCTTTGCAATATATGTCACGTACAATTACTTTTTATTCCACTGCGGTGATTATGTTTATCTCTTCTACTTTTTATTTATCAACTTAAGCAAGTTTTTATTGTTATTATACCTGGAAACTGGAGGTTGCCTGATCCTTGCAAAGTTTAAATTTCCATGATAGGGGGACACTTGCAATGAAGAAACAGTCCTTACAACCACCGTCTGATACATGTAGGACATAACATACGTTGAAAATCCCTTCCAATTAGTCAGTCTGTTACCCACGGCATTACCAGGCAGGTTTTCAGAGGTCAACAAAAGCCCGGGGCCAAATTTAGGGGAGCTTCTGCAGACTGAAACTTGCTAAGCTGAGAAAACATTTGCTTAGGCCATTTTCTCACAACTTGGCTGCGGCTTCAAATGACAAACATCTCTATGGGAAGTAGCTGCAGGCAGTACCACAGACTTGTGCGTAATTTCAAGCCGCAGCTAAGTAACTGGTGTGTGGCCTCAGCAAAAGTATTTTGCAAGCCAACATGCCATTCATTGTGTAAAATGTTGTGAAAGGTTCCTTGTTGAGTTTTACTTGGCTACAAATTGGCTAAATGACATTGTCCTCAATGCAGGTCAATAAAATTGGGTCCCTGGGGAGTTTGATTTAGGGGAAAATCCTCCAGTAACTTTGTTACTGCTAATTCATGACAGCCATCGGCAAATCTTACACCTCCTTACCTCAGTCACAAAGTGCCGGATGAGGGACATGTCCGTATCCAGCTCGTCCACACACTTGGCGATGTACTGGACCACGGGTACAACGAAGCCTTTGCTGAGAAGGTGGACCATGCGGTCCAAAATGGTTTTCTTCAGTTCCATCTGCATCCGGACGATACCAAAGGGCAAGTCGTTTAAAACAAGCTTTGAAAAGACCCCCCCAAAAACAATCTCCTAATGTAAAAGAAATTTTCCCTAAAGTTGTAAAGTCCACTATTTTGCTTTACCCTGGCCCCGTCTTGGCCAGAAATCTTTTGGTGCAGGTTAGCAAATGACTCCAAGGTAAATCAGACTGAAGGGCCCCACAGTCTGGAATGCTCAGCGCCGGGCGTACAACGGGAGCGATTTCAAATGCAGTGCACCCCCAGTGCACCTTTCTACTATTGCCCACCGTTTGTACAGAGGGGCCAGAGATTGCACAGAATTCACTCTTGCCCTGGAAGTGTTAAAAACGGAGGTATTTTCATTTAGTAGTTTAGTAGTAGTATTCATGAAAAATTGGCATTTGATAGCAGTGGGATATTCTTCTTCATTTGGTGAATTATACTTTTGCTTTAGGGCAATTCCCCCCCAAAAAGTGGAAATGGGTCACACTGTTAACAACCTCCTTGTCGTTAATAATTTGTAAACAAAACACTTCTCATACGATGAAAGTGGAAATGAAAAAGTAACATCTGTTGTTTCCACTTTCATTTCCCAAAAACTGTTTTTGCTGATGAATAACATTTTCCACTTCCGGTTAAAATTGCGCTGCCATAGTTTGCCAACCATTGGCGGGCAAACGGTATGGCGGTGACATTATTGAAGAAAGGCTCTTTTTGGCAGTATGTTTCAAGAAGGTGACATCCTCTCACCTGGACTAGGACATCCAGCTGTGGGTACGGGTCTTCAAACAGTCTAATGAGCAGGTCCAGGACTTTGCCATGAATCAGTGGATGACAGTTTACAACCTTGAGAACAGACGGAAAAGAATGTTTAAAATTAAATCATCTTAGAGTTACTAGCATGCATGGAGCCATGGGGAGGTTGTTGATTCAAACAGAGCTGCAGGTATAACTCAATTCAACCTGATACATTGATAGATGTATTGATTATTCAGTTACAATTTCTGATTGATTTTTGAAACCTACTTGCTCAACAAACAAAGACTTTCTTTCAGGAGGCACAAGAGGCACTTTTTCGACCAAAAATCTCAACATTCCATACAACAAATTTCAACAAAGTGGGACATACATAAACATGAGCATACTTTTTAGAAAAATTTTTATTTAAAATCAACAATAACGGGAAGAAGCTTGTAGGGTGCAGTCACAAATTGAGAGGGAATTTGTGAAAAAATGATGGATGTTTACAAACACCCATGGAGGCTTACATATCAAAACTTCTACTTGATTTTACTGACTTCAGTTCTAACCTCCTACCTCATCTAGTACAATAAGATGGAGAGGGGTGTGGTCGGTGATGCGCTGAAAGTAGGCGGGATCTTGGACTGTCTTGTCCACCCAGTACAGTACACCGAGGGCAACAACAGGATACCTGGTAAATAAAGACAGCACTGACAAATCTTAACTTAAATTCGGCCTAAATTGCACTCGCCTTTGCCGGTGTGATTTTGGTGCAAACCCAGTGAGAGAAACCATGTTTTTGCACGTCCCTTGGCATCTGATGCAAACCACAGTGACTTAATTGGCCAAACTATAGTGGTCTTTTGGTATTAAAAGGCATCTAAGTTGGCCAACTTGGCAATTTTTTGGCATCTAAATAAAAAATGTGATAACTTGAGCCTTTGTTTATCCTTTGATGGCAACAATCTGTGATAATTATAAACTTCAACCAAAAACATTTAAAATCTGCCAGTGTAAAGCACTATTGGAAAAGAACAAGCACAGCTTTAGTATGTGTGATGGTATAGTTGCAAAACTACCGGTGCTGACACAGCCAAAGATCGGAAAGTGGATCTATCATAGGTATTCCAGGAGGTACACTAGATTCTTTCCAAATGCACATCATAGCCTTCAACCTTTGCACCCACTGAGTGGAAGTACGGATCCCAATTTGATAAAGCCTTTCACAGGCCGTCAAATATACACGTGTGCAATACCATATTCCATCACAAAACGGGTCCAACGTCACTTCTCCAGAGACTCGAAAGCGGGCGAACGGCCTGGTAGGCTTGCTCCTGTGGTCGGTCATACCTGATACACTGGTAGAACGCAGTCAGTTCAGCGGTCAGCTCCGAGCCCACTTTCTGGTCGCAGCTGCAGATGCTGTGCACCTTCTCGATGGCCTGAGAGGTGGCCTTCAGCTCGTCCTTGTTCACGGTGACTCGCTTGTCCTGCCAGAATCGAGGGTAGAAATGGCAGACACAGTAAAAGTTGTATCCACCGTCAATTTCTTCAATTGACAGACCACTGCCACCACACGCCATGACTTACTTAATAATGCAGTGGCTTTGTGCACAATTACATGCAAAAGTAAGTCACAACAGGGTGTTTTTTGCACAAATGGGATCTCATGAATTAACATCACACCCCCCCATTAGAACTTCAAGCTCCATTCTTTGCCAACATAAAAATCAAACTGTATAGAGTACCGAAGTGACTACGTCACGCACACAATTATGCGTGTAAAAGGGCATTAGCACGAGAACCAGCCCATACTCCATTCATTTGCACTACACTTCCAGGTTCAAAATGATGGCACACTTAGGAACTCTGCAGAGGACAAAGTCCGGGTGTTTTTCGTTTAGCGTCAGCAGCTGACGTTTTAAACTGGTAATGGAAGAGGAGAGGAAGACAAAGATTGTGACGAGGTATTGATTTCGAAAAAGGACCTTTTTTTCCGATATTGTTACCTTCTTGAAGGTCTCGTGGACGCTGGCTGCATAGGCCAGCAGGTAGGTGTGCTTGTGCCTGTGCTCGGGGTTCACGTTGGCTCCTGGCTTAAACAAGGTCTGCTTGAAGAGCTCCATGAGCTGAGGGATTCGGATCAGCTCCACTGGCGGTGGGTCGGGGTTACTGTAGAGCTTGAACAACTGCATGGCAAAAGGGGCCACAAGTTTGTTTGTCTCTTTTTATAGTTTGTCTTTTTTTTTTATAGTATCATCTATGGTATTAATCTTTAGTGATGTACCAACTAAAAAAGAGTATTTTTATTGTAAGACTTCCTCCACTGAAAATCACCACAGGGAGAAACCGGTTTAGTTATATTCATCTGACCTTCTTCCCATGATGCTCAGTGCAGATCCAACTTTTAATTAATCATCAAATCCAGCGATTCCAATTGCCATTTCCCAAATGAGACTGAGAGAGTTTACGTGGCTGCCATTTTGCAGATGGCTATCATGCAAAGCCTCTCTTATGCCCGTTCTGGATGCTGGCCTGTTTATAGTAAGCCAAGCATGACTCAATTTGTCAATTTTCAGGTAAGAAATCCGTCACTAATGTCAAGTATAGGGTGACCTACCACAGTAATGTCAGCAGTGTTGAGTGCTTCTCTACAGATCATCGACAGCAATGCTTGGCAGGCTTTAGGGTAGGCGGCAGCACAGCTTAGTGCAAGGCTAATCTGGGTAACTCCCTCACCCCTGGAGAAACCAAACACAAACAAACAAACAAACAAACAAACAAACAAACAACCCAACAAACAAATAAAGAAAGGACAGACAGTTAGAGACTCCTCCAGAAGATGTATTATTGAAACAGGGTCCATTCGACAACAAGCTATTTCGCAAAACAGTGCGTAACTTATGGCAAGCATAGTATTAATTTCACAATGTCACCGCTGTACAATGCACTTATAATTGATTTCATAAAACTGATCTGAACTTTGTGATGTTATAGTTATATTAGACATCTTTGACAAGACAGATTACCACTTTTGACAATGGTCATTTGTGCATGTTTTCATCAAGGTCGAAAGCAATTACTGGATGAGCTCAATCCACATTTTGAAAAAAAAATATCACATTCTGTTGAACTGGGCAGCAACCCCTGATTGAGTTTCACAAGTTTTGGTTTAAATTTGACCGTATTCCACGAAACAGGTAAGGGGTCTGATAATTTCCTGGGTCCACCTCTGTTCGGCATAAGAAGATACATGGCGCACAGAAACTACCACTGACTTTAAAACAACAAAAATGCCTTCACTGTGGCACAAGCTCTGTGACCTACTTGTTCTTGCCAGCATTCTGTACCTCCTGGTAAAGTCTCCGGATGATGGATCCACCATCTTTGTCCTTAGCTAGGAGGTGCATCAGCATCTGAGCGTACAGGTAAGTGTGTTCACCATGACACACCATCTTCTGCAGAGAGACAAGGGTAGGAGATCATAGCCGGAGCTTATCATTCCAATCTGTCATGAAAACATGCCTGTGGGCCCGGTGCATTTCTCCACCCACTTTTTATATGCAAATCTGCTAGAAACCTTCAAGAATTTTCCCAAGTCGACCGCTAGGCAGAAACCCCATGGTGAATTTTCTGTCTTGAAACTTTCAAGTTGAAGTAACAGTGTTGCAGCCAAGTCCATCGTTAGTCCTCGGAAGCCCATCACAAGTCATTCAGTCATAAGCCGAATTACAGTCTATTCAAATGAACTGTGACAAGAGAATTCCTCTGTCACTGTTCACCCTGTTACTTATGACTAGTCTTGTGAAAGGACTTGTGACTGGACCGTTAAAAAGACTTGTGATGCACGTGACTGCAACGCTGCTGGAAGCGATCTGGAATTTTCCCAAGCCGTGTAGAGTACAAAGTGTGACATTACTGTGAACCAGAAAGTGCAGTGCAAACAAATGGAGTGCGCTCATGTTGGCTCACACACTGGTTTCTGTGCTAATGCCTATTGCACACATAACTGAGTGTGTGACGTATTCACTTGGGTACTCTGCAGCATCCTACAGCATATCTTGTTCCAAAGCTTTCAATAGGCAGTAAGCCCCTTGGCTGGCCTCTACTTCCCTAACTCTTGCAGGATCTTACAAAACCTCTGGGTATCCACATCTGGGATGGTTAAGGCAATAGTCCAGACAGTAACCAGGGCTTATATTATTGGCCTTACTGTGACTTGGTACAGTGCCTAGGCCAATAGACTGATCCAGAATGCGTGTGGACAATTAAGACGTGCTTCTCTCTAACACCACACTGTATGCTTCCTTTACGTTAATTGAATGACTTTCTGACCTTTGTACATGTAAAGCCGTGATTGGTCAAAATATCATGGGGTGAGGCTTTATGGATTGGTCTATTAAATCATACATTATAAGGGCCTATGTGAAAATGCCTACGCAAAAAAAACATCGCTTCTAAAAATTGTGACACTAACCAAAGTAAAGGGTTCATTCATACATCAAAATTTGATAGCATGCTAAACTAGATAGGTTTGCGGTAGCACCATGGATATATCTCTTTTTTGAGTGCGTGGGGTTCTGAAAAGAACCGATGCTACTCAACATTTCGGACAGTATGCTATGTCTGTCGTCAAGAGACCGCAGATAGCATGCTGTTTTCACAACCGGATAATATTAGCATAAAGCTTAATAACTCAGACCTCAAGGGCTCATGTACCATGACTACAATCTGCTCATAATAAGCCTATTTCTGCTATTTTGTGATGGGTTCTGCAGAATAAATTCTGGGAATTAACCTAGAGAGGTAATTTCTGAGCACAGCTGAAATGTGACTTGGAATATGTCAGCTTACGCTAAACTCTGGCAAATGTTTGATGACTGCATCTTCTCCGCCTTCCAGTAATTTATTGATGGTTGTCTGCAGCACTTTGGTGAACACCTCAATCTCGTGACAAGCTGTCGACACGTTACCAATTTCTCCCTGGTACCCTGCATCTGAGATTAACTGTGAAATTACAAAAAAATGTGAAAATGGAAAAACTGTCCAAAATCTACAGCACCTTTAACACAGCGACTGTTAAGTCTTTTCCTTTTTTTTTTGAAGCTGTTAATTTACGCTAGGACAGAGCTGTAAACATGTAATATAAAAAAAAACAAACAGAAAAAAAAGACAGCACGTTTGTCTCAGCCTTAATGATCTAGAGTTATGAATAAAGAGTGCACACCATTCCACTAAGCACCCTCGCACAGGCGTTCCCAAAGCAAGCTTGTACACATTCAGCATACTCTCTGCCACTCGTAGGTTCAAACCAATAATGCCAATAATGATAGCACAGCACCTCGGAATGGTTTGCTAGATAGATGGCGCTTTGCAAGAGCTTGTTATTATTATTCTTAATGTCCCCCATTTGGTTCTCATGCTGGAGCAATACAACACAACCTAAACCACATTCCTCCTTGGGGTTCATGAGCAGCACCGACCTTAATTGTGAAGTTCAGCATGAGACAGTCAGGGTGCGCCTCTGCCAATTTGTAGAACAATGACCGCCAGGTGCGATGCTGGATCATAATCTCGAGCCAAGCTGGGGTCTACAGAAAGAAAAAAAGATCTCAAATGTTTTAACCACGAGCTGGCTTGATTTGTTTCTTGTATCATCGAGAGGACAGCTGGCAGCTTTCACAAGTCACAACACACTTTTCCTCAAACCCCAACCCTCCAAGAACCTTCATCACCATACCTCATACATATTCATGTCATCATTCATGATCAGAAGCTAAAATCTCACCGGTCCATTCATCATCATGTGCCAGTCATTTTTTCTTTGCTGTTTACTAAGTGCGCATGCCAGGATCCGCACACAGCAGAATTTTCCAAAAGTTCAAGATGTGATACAGCTATAAAAGGTTGTTTGTTTTCTGGCTAGAAACTTCTCACAGATCAGTGATACCCCAAGGTTCTCACCCCTCCCTCTTCACTGAAGATGGAGTCTGCCTTCTTGGGGTCAAAATGCTTGATGATGAGCGCTTTGAGATGGTCCTCCACCATCTGTTGAACCTCGGTGGGATTCACGCCTAGAGCACCAGGATTGGAAGGGGATCGTCGTTAATTTGTCTGGGTCTGTGTCTCTGGCACAGCACTCACAGCAATGAGCAAAAGAGAAACAATCAAACCAATTCTTGGTTTTAACCATCGAAATGCACCCTAGGCCTGTACATTTTTGCAAATATGCCTATATGTACGTGGCGTACTGGTGGTTTATGATTGATACAACTTGAAATGGCAAGGCTAGAGAAACCAAACAAAGTAGAAACACAAATAAAACAATCAACCAAGAAGGATTGTACTCCACACTTCTTCAAATGGTTCCTTGCCATGTAAAAAGGGACCTTTTACCAAGTACTAACTGCGAGGGGTCTATTGCACTTTTTGGAATAACTGGACTCTGAGAGATTCTCAGAAAAAATGTTACCCTACAGACAGCAAGATGCTCAACATTTAAGATGAAATAACATCGGTTGTGTAAAGGCAACTGTTAACCATATACAGAATACTCTTCTTTCAAAATCAAGGTACCATACAATGGGAGATGTTTGAGATAATGGTCCACTAATTGCTTGCGTGACCTTTGAGCTAAAGTACATAACCTCAAAATGACGAATATAATAGACTAGTGGACGGGGATCAGTATGAGTGTCACCACCAAGTGTCTCAGAAGTCTCTCATTATTGTAATTTGGGGGGGTGTATTTTGTTTTATTTTTTGCCAGCACTGTCAGTGTGGTGCCCCGACTTGCTTTACCTGTGAAGATGAGCCACTCTGCAAACAGGTTAACAGTCTGTGCCACAGCTGTATAATTCTCAGACAGCAACAAGACAACCTGTTCAGGTGTGCCCCCGGCCTGAAAGTACCTGAATGCACAAGTAAATTGATCATTCAACAGATTAGTGGTAACTTGTGTCATCTAACAAATGTAATCCTGCTTTCTCTAACTGATGGTACCTTCAAACACAAAAAGGGACAAAAATGTTTGAGAAGCAATATCTTCAGTTTGATTTGAGTGAAAATACAAGCTAGGAACTGAAGCTCACAAGCCCGAAGAAACCTCTTGAGGAGAGAACGAGAAGCAGTTACAGTTCTCAGGGGGAAGGAAAACCCTACAAGAATATTCTGGGTAAAACCCATGAAACAGTGTAGGGGCTGAAAACCAAATGTACATGTGGGCCGGGCTGAGAGGTGAGAAAGGCAAGGAAAAACCACCACACCAATCTGACTTCCTTGCAAGCTTACACAAGGCCTGTGAAAGCTGAAACAAAACTCCTTCCGGTAGAAGCCTATGAGAGAAAAGACTCATTAATGTGCACTTTACAGGACAACAATCGACTCCTCCTTGTCATACCTTTTCAGATCTTTAAAGACACCCGACTCCATGATGTAGTCGGTGCTGGCGAATGCCTTGAGGCATTCTCTCTGTATGGCATCATCATCTTTGCTCTCATCCTCTCTGTAAGAATCTGCAATCTCCTCCGGTTCCTCCTCCTCAGGATCCACCTCCTGTCAATCAATTGAGTCAACGTTAATTACAAGTACATGTACTGGCCTGTCCGAATAACTTGACTTCACTACACCCAACAAAACCACTTTTCTGCATCACATTCAGGTGTCCATGAATGACACAAACAGCAGAGTGTCCACTCTGGAGAGGCAGAACAATGTGCTCTACAGTTCTTGAGAAACTCGTGCATGACTTGACCAAGGTACAAACTGACTTGGGTAGACTACATGCAGTGCAATTAAAAGTTTAACTGCAATGTCGAGTGAATTTAAGTGAGCAGTGGATATTTGACCAACAACCGGTAGGATTTGCTTTTGCGTGTTTGGTGGCACAGCAACAGGGCATATGCAGTGTTTTGGAGACAGACATTTTACTTTGACACACGTCCGTCTACATCTGGTTCTGTGCCTATTGTCATTGTCAGTTTGATTACCATGGTATCAGGCTACAAGACAGAATTAAGACCTATTGCAATGTCAGGCTTTTCCTCCACCTGCCAAAAAGTTTATTGCACCAATCTGCCCCACTGGAAACAGTAACCAGACAAGTGAGTAATAAATGGATCTCAGACATGTCAGACTTTATTTCCCCGTAAAAAATCCTCCAGGGCTGCAAATCTACAAAAAAAGACGAAAAGACAAGCATCAATCTTGTCATTGGCAAGTAAACAGCCTATGAACTGTTTAGACTCCAACTGCAACACCGAAGTCTAAGCTGAATCCACTAGTTTCGAAAATGCCCTAGGTTAGCCCAGTGTGTGGAATGCACACGTGGCAAAACTACAATGGATCGTTCTTATGTCACGTCACTGTCATGGCTGTACTGTACATGCAGCATGCAAAAATATAACTGGATCCACCGCTCAACTAATTCGGGTAATATGTACACAGATCTTTTTTCAGGTCTACAGTAGGTATATTTATTAATCTTATCAAGTACATTTTGTACTGGCCCACCAATATTATAGTCGCCAGGTCCTTTATTTCGCCACTTGCTGTGCAAACCAATCAGATATGAAGTATAATCCCTATCACACGCGATGGGCCTACCAATAATTACAAAAACAAAAAAAGAGCTAGGCCTAAAATTGTGGGGTCCGACGTCCGCCCCGCTCCACGAGGGAGCGGGGCGGACGTCGTGGAGCGGGTGGACGTCGGACCCCACAGTTCTGGGGGCCGGGGTAGGCCTAAATAAGAGCCAGGCTTAGCCCGGCCCCTTGCTAACCACGTTAACCCAATAACTGGTTAATAAACTTTACGCATACCGGATGTTCATAATCCCAGTCGAAATCTTCTGCATCCATCATCACTGAATACGAATAATTAAACTGATATGGGTTTAACTCAAGACTAGTCGTAGTTTTTGGTTGATTCCATTATGCTGATCGTTACAAAATTCCCTGTTCATAAAGCAGACAGCATTACAAGAATGACAAGGGCGCAGCCATCTTTTTGACAACAGCCAATAATTTCCACGCTTTCTAATGAGGACTATCATGAAACAAGAGATTTGATTGGCTTATGGACTACGGCTTGACCTTTGAACCGATAAAACGTTTTACAAGCGCGCTGTAGTATAGTATGCCGGCTTAGCGTCTGGTGAGACACGTTGGACTCGAAGGACCGGTCTATAATTTCTCCTGAAATCCGCCGTCATCAATCGCTCCAAAATGGTAAAATGAAACTTTTCATGTAGAATAATTAATTGTGGTTTAGTAGATGTATTTATTTAATTTAACCATTCTGTACCGAACAAGTGAAGTGCCCATTGAGCATGATGATCATTGGATGGCAAATGTAATACCTAAGACGCGAGAAAATGCATTGTCCTTCAGGTAGGCCTACCGTTACATTCACTTTTTACGATTTAAACATTTGACTTGGTTTGATTTATTCGTCTTACCATAGTATTAAAACGTAGATAATATCAGGATCGAACAGGGAAAGAGGCATACAGACTATTCCGAGTCGGCTGTTGCTACCATAACTACTAGCATGATTAGGTTAGGGTAGTTACTTAGGCTAGGCCGGTTTAGGCCTACAGTCACTTCGCCCCACATCGCCCCTAACCACTTCGTCCCATCCCCACTTTGCCCCATTTCAACTTGTCCCATTTCCGAAATTCCGGTGATCGGATAGGAACCTCGGGAACCGCGGCAGAAAATTTTGTGGAAACATGCTCACTTAAAGTACGAGCAAAACAATCTAAACTTAAACTCATGCACAGAAAATACACACATAGGCAAGATATTAAATTCTGGGAATTAGCTTTAAGAAATCTTGCAACATCGATTTTTTTTTCAATGTGTGAGGTCACGTACATGTACGGTCGCGGCGGCATGAATAGACTGGTTGCCATACTCCATCACGCATTCTCTTGCATGGGTGTGGCGCGGCGGGAACCAGCGCTTTGCTCACATGTTTTTAACACAGTGAAACACGAAGAGAACTCTTGAAATTAGCAGAAGTTGCTTTTCAATGCTGTAAAGGTAACCGGGAAAACATATAAACACAAACATTATGAGAAAAATGTCGTTCTGAGGTGTTTGTGAAGACAAAAAACACGACAGGATTTATTTAATTTGTCTTTCTTATATTTATTTAATTTGTTTTTTCTAACTTGCCAATAAACATGTTAGGGCCTCGCCGAAAAATTAGGGTCGGTCGGGAAATCGAAAGCATTGTTTTGGCCTTTGCAAGTTGGATTCTCCCACTGTTACTTGGCTGCTCAAATGTTGATGTTTTCATTTGTTCCATCTAGGCCTATGCCTCTGTTACTAATAAAGAACAGAATGAACGATAATCGGTGGGACAAAGTGGAAATGGGGCGAATTGGAGCACCTCGGGCTGAATCACGGTAGCCTTTTAGTTAAGGCGTGCATGGTGCTGCTGCACCATTGCGCTGGTGTCTTCATCGTGCACTCCAATGACAGGTGCACGACGTGTACTCCAATGACAGGTGCACGACGTGTACCCGCAGAACTGTGGGGTCTGATGTCCGTTCCACTCCCACCTTACGTAAAACTCCTAGGGGGAGGGAATTGAGCAGCATTTCTATGGGTACACAACTTCAAAATCCTTGTTCATACCCAGTTAAACGTCATGTAGAGCCCATGGCAAAAAAAGGCTTGTTTTCTAGGGGCTCATGGAAGCAGGGCGGATGTTGGACCCCAAGTTATAGGGGTACCCTTGCCTGCCATGTTGGCGTTCTGGGAAAGAATTCCATATACGGACAACTCTAATTTCCCATAAAATGTTATGACCGTCAGAAAGTGATAGCATGTCCTTAAAAGTGAGGTTTAGCACAGAAAATCCCAAAGCATTTACTTAAAAACAATAGGCCTAGGTTTTTTCAGACAAGTCTCATACCGTAGGTTTGTGCTCAGGGCTTCAACTTTTTCCATTTTCTGGTTGCAATAAAAACGATGGAGTGCAAAAGTGACAAAAAAGCAGATCCATTTATCATCATCAGCCGTTATCTTTCCACTGGTGGACGAAAGCCTCAGCATGCCGATGCCAATTTGCTTTGTCTCCAGCTGCTGTTTGTCAGTGAACAGTGCCCCAATATCTGTCTAGGTCATCTCGCCACCTCCCTCGCTGTCTGCCTCTGTTCCTTTTGTCATCCATGGGTTTCCATAATGTTATGGTTGAGCCCCATCTTTTGATTTTTCCTTTGCTAAGGTGTCCTGCCCATCGCTACTTACTGAGTTTAATGATTTCCAAAATGTCTTGAATTTTGGTTTGTTCTCTAACCCAGTCATTTGTTTTCTGTCTGTATGTGTAATGCCAAGCATATTCTTCTCCATGTAATAATGTGCTGCAGCTATTCTACATGCTACATCCATTCACATGTAGCTTATTTACTTACTTATTAACTTTCTTCCACAAAGGCAACCCTTGGCGTGGGTTTTTTGGGGGTCAAATGAGCCCTCAAATGTAGGTGATGGTTCTTTAAGCATCAAGCCCAGGCTTGGGGATAAACTCGCTTGTAAAGTGTTTCTGGGCTCATAAGCGATCCCACTGCCTCGAGTTCAACCGGGGCAACACAGTTTTCCACGATCAAAATGGCTTTGACTGAAGTCTTATCGGTGGATTTCTTCCCTTGCAAACCACACCAAACTTTTCTCAAATCAAAATAAAATACCCAAACCCATGCCCTACCTCGAGATAACATTGAAGCTGATCTCATTGTTCTCCTAAATTACCGAGGGCTCCTTGCCACCACCAGCATGGGGTTTTCCTAGGTCAAACAAGCCCTTAAATGTAGGTGACAGCTTTTTAAACTAATATAATTATTGTTTTTTGTTACTTTCACACTCCATCGTTTCTGTTGCAACCAGAATCCTAGCAAGGGCTTTGTTAGGGGTGTGCATCTTGAGCGCTCGCTGAACTGTTACAAATTCAATGTTGAATATCAAATGGTTACTTATTCAACATTGAATGTTGAACGAGGAATAAGTAACTGACTTCACACCGCCATGGATCAGGTGGATATTTGGCTGTCCGTCGGCAAGATTTAACTAAGTGATATTTAGCGGTAAAAATCTTTTACCTTGACTTATCTTTAGGCTGGTTCTGCGCCAACATACACTGTGTTTTCATTGGACTTTTTCTTCTGCGGCCACACCAAAACTTCCAAAGATTTAGTGCTTTCCAATTTCCATGTGCTGTAGTACGCATGAAACGATTGGATTGGCGCATTGCGTGGGGTTCTATACAAGCAGTGTCCTTCGAAATGCAGCATGTGGAAACCTAGTCTGTGAGGAGTGGACTTCATTGGTTCCCACGTAACTTGTATTCACTTTAGACAGCCAAAGTCGGAAACCGGTGATTCTATATCACAGTTGGACATTGAAAAAGGAAAAGTAAAGTCCTAGATTTCCCGTATGATTGACCAATTGAACAGCCAGATTGCGTGGTCATTCTTATTCCTGACTGCCAATGGCATATGAATATTAATATTTAAATTGAAGGATTCAGGGCTGTTTTGGTTATTTGAATGTCTGTTATTTGAATGTTGTAGTTGTGAGGCCTAGTTGAAAATGTTCAGATGGTGAGAGTATTATATGAGAATCTTGTTCCTCTTTTGGCATCTGAAAATTGCAAAGCGAAATTGGAGAAATTCCATATAAGGGAGACTTGTAGTGTTAAACCATGATTGAGCACGTGCCAAGGGTAAATCATTAATTGTCCTCGTTTTAGATGGAATGGACTTGTGTCTTCAAGTGCATTTACCCTGACTTAAATCCTTATGTACGAGGAACGTGATTGGACACTTGTTATTTGCATTCGAAGACTGCAAATAACAGTTTGTGTATATTTTAAAGCATAATTTGAAGGTTTTTTCAGTACAAAGATTTTCTTGACATCTTTGCATTGACTGACAATCACTAAGATCAGTCTCTTTCTATTCCCTGCTTTCCAACTCCTCCTGCCACAATCACAAGTTGCATTACTCAAACGGCTGTATAATCTCTTGTTTGGGGTTGCAGACGGTCGGCAAGAGCTCCAAGATGTTGCAGCACATCAACTACAGGATGCGGATCAGCCTGCAAGACGGCCGCATCTTCATTGGCACTTTCCTGGCCTTTGACAAGCACATGAACCTGGTGCTGGGCGACTGCGAGGAGTTTCGGAAGATCAAGCCCAAGAGCTCCAAGATGCCGGAGCGGGAGGAGAAGCGAGCCTTGGGGCTTGTGCTGCTGAGAGGGGAGAACCTTGTATCCATGACGGTGGAGGGGCCGCCCGTGCAGTCGGTGAGTGCGCTGGTTAAACTGCTCAGTTAGCCTTTTCCTGACTTCTCGCACCTTTCCCATCCGTGACAAGGGGACTTAGAAAGCTGACTAAAAAGTGAACTCATTGCTTATGTAATAGGGAGTCCCAGGGACAAACAGCTGTCATCCAGGAGGCTTAACCCTCCTATGCTGAAGTCACTCTTTGGGTCATTTGGTGAACACCTC